GAATCGCTGCCACCCGCAGAGCGTTCCGCATTGGACACCGCCACTGGCCCCGTGGTCCCGTGGAACCCGACCTGTTGGCCTTGAAGGGGAGCATCGTCCTTGACCGGACGACCGCAGAGCTTGCTGGCTGTCGGCTGTCCGCTGTCCGACATGCAGGTCCAGAAGGTTGAGACGGGGATAGACACTTTTACTAAATCCAATACATATTTTGAGTGGTGAATCTGCTGTTCTCATCTTTTCTATTTGGGGGTCTTTTGTGGCACTCTTGTAGCACTCCCTGAGAAAGAACATCATGGTGGAAGTGGAAGGCATGGCCGGCTCCGACTTCCGACTGGGCTCTCACAAGTCTATCTGTGCACACCAAATCACACCGAATCGGTGAGTGATGGTGAGTGCGTGTCATCTCCTTTGTGTGCCGCACTCTGTTTCTAAGAGTTTCCCACCGATGACGCAGGGGGACGGGACACCACTGGCACCGCCCGTCCAACGAAGAGGGTGCCAGTCGGTGCTGATGCAATTGAGGACGCTCCACTGTCTACCTGCGAGTTGACAACACTCCACTCTTCGCCGCTGTTTTTTTGTTGCCATGGTTGTTCTCATGATAGATCCCAAAACAGGTTTCCTTCATGCTAATTCGATCGGCTACGTATTCAGTAACTAGAGTCCGCAGTCACGCAAACCTTTTTGTTAAACACCTTCACTTCCACCGACCCAGCCGCCTTTCCGTTTGCGTCCATTTTTTCGTAAAGCGCTAACGCGTCAACATAGTTCAACATTTCAGTTGAGCCGACTTTGCGCCTTTCCGTTCCCTCATGGCATTTCACTGTGGATTATGGTTAACTGCAAACCCTGTGACTAAGTGTGTACCGCTGTGTCGTCCCACTGGGTGCACAGTGTGATCCCCCGCAAGGGGGGCGCTGAAACCATGGTGAATCACATATCGGTTTAGCGGCCTTGAGTTCTGTGATTATGATCTCGGATTGATTTTGTTTCACCCATAAATCAACTGAACCATATGCCGCCGGGCTCCTGGATAGAATGCCGCCGGGCTTACGGAGAATGAACCCCCACGCCGGCCCCCAGTCCCCTCCCCTCTAACTAGGGTAACAGAAGGAAATGGTACTCGACACACTTGTGTGTCGGTGCCTTTCCTTCTGTTGTCCCTGTCTACCCGGGCGGTTTAAGACTAAAGTCCCGCTCCCTAACTATTGCACGTAATTAACAGCTGCTAAGTATTCAGACACACACTCTGACATTGGTTTTCAGTTAACTCAATTGCCACGATGGGAAGGAAGGTGAGGGAACGGAAAGGCGCATGAGTCCGCAGAAAAGTATTGTTTAACACAAGTTTTACGCAAGTGGAAGCGGCGTTCAGCAGCTGCAGTGCAGTGGGAAACCTGTTTATGGGGAAGGATCACATGAAGAACCATGAATCAAACCAAAAGAGTGGACAGCGTGTGCAAAAGTTCATTGAGCAGGTACGTCCAGAAAGCGTCCTTTCTGCTGTCTTCGTTGGGCAGTGAGTGATAGCGGTCCACTGCCCCCCTGCAGATCTTGAAAGAACCCTTAGAAACAGGGTGTGACACACACAAGAAGCCGAACTCGGCGCAGTTGCAGAACAGCGAAGAAAGCGGGCTTTTTCAAAAACCGCCTGCACGCAAAGTTGGAAATACTGAAAGATTCCTGAGCTCTGGTGGATCTGCAGTGAGGAAAGGTAAGGTGAACTCATGGCATGAGATGCAATGCAGAGTGGTGTAAAACATGTGGAAGCTGATCAAATGGCAGCGGGTTAAAAAGTTGGGAAATGCGGTAAACAGCGTCATGACAATGCAAGACCCAATGAGTCAGGTAATCACAAGGGAATCCATCGTTTATAGCCCGGCGGCTCGAAAATACGTTAATTCAGTGATAGAAATGAACGAGCGGGGAAACAGTTATAAATATGAAGGACCAGTGAATTCCGGAATGGTTTCGGCGCGTCCTTTCGAAAAGTCACACCCAGCACCCAAGTGGGAAGACTGAGCGGCTCACACTCTGACATTGGTTTTCAGTTAACTCAATTGCCACGATGGGAAGGAAGGTGAGGGAACGGAAAGGCGCATGAGTCCGCAGAAAAGTATTGTTTAACACAAGTTTTACGCAAGTGGAAGCGGCGTTCAGCAGCTGCAGTGCAGTTCAGTGGGAAACCTGTTTATGGGGAAGGATCACATGAAGAACCATGAATCAAACCAAAAGAGTGGACAGCGTGTGCAAAAGTTCATTGAGCAGGTACGTCCAGAAAGCGTCCTTTCTGGATTTCACGACCGGACTATCACTGTCTTCGTTGGGCAGTGAGTGATAGCGGTCCACTGCCCCCCTGCAGATCTTGAAAGAACCCTTAGAAACAGGGTGTGACACACACACACACATGGACATACACCCCCTCCCTGCCCCCCGCTTTCTCTCTTGCGCTCTCTTCGTTTTCTAGGTTTTCTTTCAGGCCTGTTAGGTGGTTCTTGAGGCACGTTTTCCTGCCCCTCGAGTCTCGTTTGGTTCTTTCTCTCTTGCATGTTCGTTTCTCTTTCTAGGTCTGCCTTTCCGCTAGAGGCTTTTTAGGTTTGTAATAAAGTTCCTTTCCTTTTTCAGTCAAGGGCTAAGTAGTCAAGTGCTAAGCAGTCACTTTTTCAACTACTCCTACCTTTCCTTCTTGCCCTTTTCGTTTTGCTCTTTCTGTCTTTCTTTTTTCTTTCCTAAGGCTTTTTAGGTGACTATTCAGGTTACGCGAGAGAGCGCCGTGAAGCGGCCGAGTGTGTGTGTCGCACTCTGTTTCCAAGAGTTTACGCAGGGGGGGGGGACACCACTGGCACCGCCCGTCCAACGAAGAGGGTGCCAGTCGGTGCTGATGCAGTAGAGGACGCTCCACGGCGTACCTGCGAGTTGACAACACTCCACTCTTCGCCGCTGGTTTTTGTTGCTGTTCTCATGATAGATCCCAAAACAGGTTTCCTTCATGCTAATTCGATCGGCTACGTATCCAGCAACTAGAGTCCGCAGTCACGCAAACCTTTTAGTTAAACACCTTCACTTCCACCGACCCAGCCGCCTTTCGGTTTGCGTCCATTTTTTCATAAAGCACTAACGTGTCAACATAGTTCAACATTTCAGTTGAGCCGACTTTGCGCCTTTCCGTTCCCTCATTCATTTCACTGTGGATTATGGTTAACTGCAAGCCCTGTGACTAATTGTGACTAAGTGTGTGTGTGTGTGTCAAACCCTGTGCCTAAGGGTTCCCACCTTACGGTTTTGCTCCTTTTACTTCCTGCAGTGGTGGTGGTGATGGCACACTTGCATCACATACCTGGAGCTTCAACTACCTCCGGAGAAGGTGGTTGGGGTGGACTTGGTGGGTCTAACTACTGTACCTTCTGCGGATGTGGGCCAGGTGCCCTAGGGTCCAATAAGTGAAGATGGTTTTTGAGTTTGTGGAGTTTGAGTGGAGCAGGCCTGCAGAGCTCCACTTAACAAAGCTCTCTGCAGTGTCCTGCGGATATCACTGGAGACGTCCAGTGACGTACCTACAATCAACGGTTGACCAAGCTGTTCCACTTTCGGTTTGATTCACGGTTCTTCCACGATACTTCCCCCAAACTTTTTCCTTCAGCCGCTTTCTGCTGCCGCGCGTTCGTGAACTGCAGATGTGCACAAAACCATTGTTGAAACATCTTCAAATTTCTTGGACCTTTCGCCTTGCCGTTCCTTCGCCATTTTTCCTGGGAATTGAGCTAACTGAAAACCATGTCAGAGTGTGTGTGTGTGTGTGCCAGGAGTCACAAGACGGTGTGCCGAACTTGGAGGAAGTCGGGGTGCGCTTGTCACATCCACGAGCCCTGGATGGGACTAAAAGCAACTCAATTTGTGACTCCTGGTGTGTTTTTCATGTGTTTGTTTTTTAATCGTTTTACCACAGCTCTTTGAGAGACCTCTCGACTTGGGAGACGAGGACCACACCAAGCCTTTCAAGAGAGCCGGCCTGGAGGGCGGCGTCACGTTCACGCGGTGTCCCGTTTCTGGAGCCAGAAAGCCAGGTCATATGCAGAAATTGGGATGGAATTCCCATCCAAACATCCAAAGACGAGCAAAAATACATGGCATGTGCGTGAGATGTTTTGTGTGTGCCTTTTTTAAATGGACAGACTGATTACAGTATTGCTGGATGCCTAGCTTCTCACAAAAAAAAGGATCATTGATGTTCTCTGAATATATCTTGGCCGGTTGGATATCGGAAACCATGAGAAACTCCAGTCAAGAGTCCTCCGGTCCGTAGGTGGAATCCTTGCCTTGTTCTTCGTCTCCGGTCGTATGTTCTCTTCGGAGAGGTGCTCTTCGTTGACGGACGAACGGTTCCCATGGGAACGGAAGAGTTCAGATCTGAATGGGAAGAGTTCGGGAGGTTCCCCCCCATTAGAAACAAATTATACCAGCATAGACCCCAAATAGTTTCAAAACGATTCGCTTAGACCAATATTAGTCAAAAAATGATTTCTTGGTACGCCCTACCTTCACCCCAAGAGCAAGCTGCTTTTTCTAAGATAGAACCCCAACAGTAAACTGTTTGGGGAAAAAATCCGATCTATAGCACCCGACTTCACAGGTCTGCCAGGTCACCACCTGCGACTTTGAAGTCTGTATTTCAGTGACCAAAGGAGACCTGGTGTGTATGATTCTACTGTTGATTGAAGAGCTAGAGCAGTCTGAGCAGTTCTGATTTCACGGGTGGTGAATCTGCCATAGAACTGGTTAGTGTTGCTCTAAACTCTAAAATCAAGAGTGCTAACTTAAACAAATGAATCATGCAAATTTAGAGTATAGTAATGGACAAAAAACATGTATAACTGTATAACTGTATATATATATAAATTATACATACATATATATATATACAACAACACCAGCATCATCAAACGACCATGCCACGTGGACCATGCCTCACAAAACATGAACCCGACCATGCCAGGCATCGGTTTTCCGGCATCAACGCTCGCCCGGGAAATCAGGTCCCCTTTCATTCGACGTCTCTTGGGTCTTAAAATGTCGTGCTGTTCATCCTCACTCTCACTGGGGATCAGCACGCTGAGCTTTTCCTGTCGGTGCCGTGCCGGTGCCCTGTCGGGTTCAAAACCTTGGACAGGTCTCTTCTTCGGAAAAACATGTGTATATATGTGTATATATATATAACCCCTATGCTTCCTAAGAAAAGGCTGACCTGGGTTGCGTAGTGTAAAAGGAAAAACACCAGCTTCTTTCTCCCGTTCGCTCGGAAACCTCAATCCGCATGTTGCCTCGAAACGGAAGTTCGATGAAACCCAAGCAAGTGTCTTTGGTGGAGATGGTGGAGGCACCCCCAAAACCAATCTCCCCGGTTTTAAAATGTTTTAAATACAAAGAATTCTCCCACGGGCGCGAATCCATGCGAATATCTGCATTTGCTCACAAATGTTTGCAACAAAGGGGATAAGCCTCAAATCGTGGAGTTAATTGTTATCATGAAATGGATCGATTTCGACGACATCGAAACAAATGCCTTTTGACAGGGCCTGGGGAAATCTGATGTCATCTCTCTCGCAGGTGGTTCAACCCACAGAGCGCAAACCTCAAGTACCTACAACGGGGGAGAGGGGGCAAACTGCGCACAACCCCTTAGCCTACCCGTTAGACCAAACATAGAGTAACACATGTATATGTTCCATGAATTTTCATGATGTTCTTACTAAACGCGCGCCCGCAGAGCGTTTTGCCAGGGTTTGGGGGTTTAACCAGTGATCCATTCCCTCTATGCCTTCTTGGACTTCTTGGGCGTTCAGTCCCAATACTGAAGCCTTGAGAATCCTTGAGTTTCTTATGTGAGCAACATTGCTTAAATGAAATTGATACTGCAACTGGTGCTTGTCTGGATCTTGTTTTCCAAGTTGTTCCACGTTTTGACATTGTTTGGATGCATAGAGTGTACAGCTGCGTAGTACCTCGTTGTATAGCTAGCACCTATACCTATTTTTCAGCGGCCATGACGCTTTGGAACAAACATGAGGCTTCCAAGCTATTCCCTCCGTTCGTCCAGTCTGACCCAGTAAAACCCTGGTCTTGAACAACCTCCAAGCAAGCGTGTATATATGTACAGTCGTGTTTTGGTCACCAGGTCCAGCAAGTTCAAATCCTGACCTCGAGGGCCTGACCTCGAGTGGGATTCGCCCTAAGGGCGAACGAAGCGATTCCGAACCGGTTCCCCGGGATTCTGACCGGTTCCCCGGCACCCTCTACGACCCTCTACGACGTGCCTTTTGGGGGGGTGATGTGGAGGGTGAGTCGGTCGCACCACGTTTGTTTTACGCAGAACTTACTATCCACTGGTTGGGTATCACAATCCACATGCTGGAATCTCCTGCTGGCGCTTTTCTGAGCGCACTTTGGTGTACACATGCTGACCTGATGTCAACTCCGCAAATGTGGGGTGCTCACTCTTATTTTGTCTTCTTTGGTCTTGTATAGTCGTGTTGACCTCTCAATTTTGTTGTACAGGCTTGCTTTCCCTACATTGCCGCGCTCCATAGGTGAAGTCCTACGGATCCCAACCACGTTTGATGCGTATTGCTCTGGGTTTGATGCTTTGTGTGGGTCCAAGGGCGATGAATCCGCTCGGACATTCTAGCTTATTGCACTCCTGCTTGCCCCGCTGCTCGCAATGGCACGATGCAGAAGACACGTCTGTGACATGCTTTTGGACCTGTATGGTGAACCTTTACTTTGGAGTTCCCACCCGCGGGATCCCTGACGATTGGTGGGAAGCTTGGCCTTGTCCAACAGGTTCACGATGCCCTTTGAATTGCATCCGCTTAGGCTCATGTCGTTTGTACAGGCCACTTTCTTGTTCCTGATGTGTGAGGGCTCTTGCGGTATGCAAGATGCGCTCTGACAAGCCACAACTACTTTTGGGATCCAACCGGTGCGGGGTGGATCCACCAGGTTTCTTCATCTCAGTATTTTTCGAATCCAACATGAAGGAACACAAAGATGTAATTTTGTGGCATTTAAAACACATCATAAAAACCATCACCACCATGTCCATCCTTGTCCAGTTTGTAGCACTCCACCAAACCATCACCAAACCTGGGTGGATCTCCCAACCCATCGCGAGACGAGACGCGAGGAACGCGAGGATCGAGATCTCCTGGGCCCTGTTCCCAGTCGTCCGGAGCCTCCGACAGGAGCGGGGAGGAGCGAATGGGTGCGGAATCAGCGAACATCTAACATGCCAGAACATTCTCAATGGAAGGACAAACATCTAACCTGCGTAACATGCCAGAAAGATCCACCCTCATTCACCAATCGATTTTGGATTATAGATGTCACAGGAACCTAGCTCTCGAATTTGATGATTCCACTCAGCGGCGTTTCAAGGTTGCGTGATGCCGGGTTGCGTTTCCAGTTGCCCAAGGCAGCCCAAGGCTGTCACAGCAGGAATCCATGTTAAGCGAACCACCCGGCTGACCCGAGATGTGGGAAGCAGTTGCTCGTCAAGACCCCGTTGGGAGCAGGGTCGATGATGCTTCAGGAAAAACCTGTCCATCGCTTTAGTGGGTGCAGGCAGCCACTTAATGTATACTTTTGGTTGGTGCCGTGCTTGGCGACACTTACACTGTAGAATGGTTCGTTTGAGACTAAAGTATACATGGTATACAAGGAGGCTAACCCAAATAGAAAGTGGGATAAGTGCCTGGACCCTGAAGAGTTTACTAATTTTTGAACTGTTGGGTTTGTGAACGCAAAAAGACGCAAAAAGCCGCAAATCCTGAAAAGCGGGCTGAATGTTCCAGTTGGTCCAAACGTGAAGAAATCACTGAGTGGAGGACAAGATCATATATCAAGAGCAGATTCTTCACCACTCCATGCTTGGCTTTAAGATACGCATGATCTCCATTGTAGAATCACCTCTTAAGAAACACGATCGACGATAGACGATAGATGTGCAAATCCATGCTTATCAATTCTTTTTACACCTGTCCATCCTGTCACAGATTTTGACACCTAACTTGGTGTTTCTTTGGCATAATTATATAGATCCATCATGATCTGTCAATGAGCTGCCAAATGAAATCCCACATGCCATATGCATGTTTTGGTGTGGATTCAATACTAGCTTTCAATATATTTCATACATGGTCACACTTTTCCCTGCACAACCACAAAAGAAGCGTACGCAAATATCCGCAAGAATACGCAAATATCCGCAAAAAGTACGCAAAAACCCGCAAGAGTGCACAAAGTGGGATTTCTGTACAGTTTCAAATTTAGCAATTTAATGGCCTACCATCATGAGAAGATTTGACCTGGAGCTCGTGGGATGGAGCAAACTAGTGTGAATGCTTGCCACATACGGCAATCTTGAAGTTTCACCATATCCTGTAGGTTGACAAGTACCCAGGGTGGCAATTGGCTAGAAGTGTACTACACACTCAAAGAGCCAAAGTGATGATATTGTATCGTACAACTCTTTATCAACTCCTCGTATGGCTCAAAGATTCGTACGTACATAGGTGATCATGCACCAAGCATAGATGTGCTTGCTGGTGGGAGTCATTTAAGAAAGCGTCCAGTATTGCTTTGGGGTGTACAGTTTTGGCTTGAATCGTTTAGATTGGCATTGAAGTGTTCCAAACGGCCCAAAAGGATAGAAATGCCAAACGTACAGAAATTATTGCACTTTCAAGGGTTCAGGTGGTATATATCTATATAAATAAATGTATACAGTGGTGTCGTGGTCCTTTATATTTACAGTTGCCAAGTTGAGAGTGTAAATGCTATGTCGGCTGAGCCAACATGGCTAGTGACCATGTTTCTTCCTGTTTGTGTCATCCTAGGGTCGGGAGGTTCTGTTTGGAATCGATTTTTTTGGGTTAAGGGGAAAATCAACGTTGGATGTCCTCCTCAAAGCATGCTCCACAATGCTTGGATCGCCTCTCGTTTTCCTGTATCTGTATCACCACGCACACCTCAGCAGAAAAAACAAGGACGTCCGGATGCTGAAAGTGGGTTGCAAAACTAAGAGTCGAAATGGATTGCATGGATACCGCATACTGGACTTTACATTGATTGTCCATGTCTGCCAAAAGGCTGGTTGAAGAAATGAAAACCTTGAGCCTGCATGTTGATTCGAACAAGGCATACAAATGGTCCTCAGGTGCTGTCCCCATGGCTAGTGACTTCGTCCTTTGACTTATTTCCGAGTTGCCCAACACAAAAAAGTATCCAAAAAGGATGACCCTGTGAACCATAACCAATTGAATATCACTTGAGACAACACCTTTTCAATCGCAGACTTGGAACATCTAGGTCCCCAACCTTGGCTTGCCCACCACAACTAGAAAACTCCTTGCTAAATCTGCTAAATCGCTTGGGCCGTGCTTTCACTGCGTTTCGTTTGCCACGTGGTGAAACACCGCCTACTTCACTGACTAGGCCATCCGGGCCAATGACCAAACTGCCCGAGTCATTCCTCATGATCTCGAGCTCTCCGCCCAGTCGTCTTTCGATCCACTCCTCAAAACGTTCACGCCGTCGACAGATCGTGAGGCAAACGGATCAAACAAACCTGTGAAAGGGCGCGTTTTCGTGCCCTTGCACATCTTTGAGCACTTATCCCAAGGGGGTCCTTCAAAAAGTTCCACCATGTGATGGTTAGACAGTTCCTGATCTCAAGAATACTTAGCGTCTGCATTTTTGCTTGAAACAAACTCCCTGCGATCCACATCGATTCACCAGAACCCAGGTATTACTTGGGTCTATCCTATTACCAGTCACTAGTAAAAGCCTTGTTCAAAAATAGTGATTTGTGTACTGACGCTTAATTACATGTAGCCCAACCACTTTCACTTTCCAAGACCAACTTAAATAGTCTATTTGCATTATCTTGCACTATACTTTCGGGTCAACCGATGTAGACCGCCCACATGCTTCACATACCCGGAATCCGGCCTTCAAGGAAACCACGTTGCCCTTAGGCAAGACATCCAACTTACCTGGATCGTGACGCACGCAGCAGAGTCGTCCTGTCTTCCACCCGAGGGGATGCGCACCAAAATAATTAATTGTTGTGCAATCATCCGGGAGAGATTGTTCCTGTACTGTACAAACATTTGATAGTTACTCAATGTTACTCAGTTATAGTTATACTGTATATACTCATGTCCGATGTATATAGGACTCTTGCTTCTTTGGGGATCGGACCTCGAACTAACCATCCCATCGTTTGCCCGGAACTAGAAGAATAGGCGCGCCAGCAAGTGGGAAAAGCTGCGGCACAGCACCAAGCCTAAAGAAGCTGGGAGCAGCCAGCTCCACACAGCCAAAAAGCTTGCTCCAACTAAACAGGGCAAATTGAAAGCATGCTAGGCTGCTAGGTGGGAGAGGGGGTCGGTGTTCCCCCCCTACCCCAACCAACCACAAACACCAGTACCCCATTCTATATCCCGCATTTTGGATGATGGCACTCTCGACCATAACATACCATAACCCCTCGGAAAGAACACAAACAACTAACTCCCCCCTATGGAGCGGCTGGGCCGCCACATCTGCCTGGTATCAGTCCGAATCCTTTCAATCTGCCATGGCCCCCACGTCGGCTGGGCCGCCGGGCATCGGCGGACGGCTGGGTCCAACATCGCCTTGGACAAGCTGGGCGAGTCCTGCAGACGAGTCGTCCGGTGCATGGGGCGGCGTGCGGTCGTCCCGCAGGATGCGCAGGATGGAAGTGGAAACAGGGCCTTTTTGGATGACCATGTTCCGCATTTTTCTCATTGGTTTTCCGCATACCTATAGTGTATTTCAGAGTGTCTCTTCATCTAATTACATGGAATACTGCCATGGCACCCTACCCCAAAAAAGAGACTCTCCCGCAGCACCACGACTAGCGCCACAGCACTAGCGCCACGGCACTAGCGGCACGGCTTTGCTCCTCTTCAGTCCAATTCTCCAAAAAGCAAAGGATGGCATCCCGCAGTTGCTCCTGACGACGGCAACCCTTTCGGGAGGATCTTCCGAGCGAAGTTGTACATTTTTGGTGTGGCAAAACCGAAGCTTTCTGAAATGGAGAGAGGATCCTCAAGGATTTGGGTCTGTAGTACTAGTTTTTGAGGTATAGTACAATATATCTCACAGAAACAACATAATATTAAAACTTATCAACACCTGCTTGCATTAGGACATTCATGGTCCGTGATGTTGAAGGCTGTGAGCAATTCTCTCTGGGGTCGTGGAACACGCCCTGGGCGAAGAAAAACACACATGGCCCAGCGGCATCCTCCGCATCTGTGAAGCTATCAGCTGGCAAGCTTTTCCAGAACTGCTCCGCCACCGTCTTGGAGTCTGCCGCGCTGTTCGCGCAGGCGCAGGCATGCGCAGGCGCTTGAACAGCGCGTCGCGGTTTACTGGGATTTTGGGCAGATTTATCAGGGGCAACAGTGCCCGAAGCACTAGCTGGCTCTTCAAAGAGACCTCGACCTGTAAGTGACCTCTTTTATCCTCTTTTCGTCACTGACACCGGGCCTCAGACAGTGGTCACTTTCGCTGGAACTGACAGGGTGACAGTCATGCCGTAGTCTGGAATTGACCTCATAAAGTTACTGGAGTTGGTCATACAAAAAAAAGCACTACTCGATCTACTCGTCTGACTCGTCTGGAGGTGTTCATATGTTTTCATGACCTGGTTTTTTACTAGGTCAGACTGGACCCAGGGATGAGAGTTTCACTCGTCCGAGCTGCATGGAGAAGAAGCTGCGAGTGAACAGCTTGCTCGTGCTGCACGGGGTGGTTCTCACTTTCCATCAACTCAAACAAACCACCGACAAGTCTGCACTCAGTAGGAGGAACATCTTCCAGCGAGTCGGTTCTACTGAGTGCAATTCTGGAAGCTTTTCCTTTTTCGCTCGCCAGAGATGTTGCAGGGTAGCACCTTCTTGGTTCACATTCGTCTGAAGCCTTAACGGGCGAACTGGCACATTCGAGACCATCATGTTCGCCATCAGCGCAATCGCTCGTGAACGGAGGCCTCCAGAGGCCTTGCCATTCTTGCCCTTGCCCTTCTCGCCCTTCTCGCCCTTCTCGCCCTTCTCGCCCTTCTCACTACCCTTCTCACCTGGGTAATGAACGGTTCAGGAACCTCAAAAAACCTATAAACACCACCCATGATATAACATGTGTACATATGTGTGTATACATGTTGTGCATTATATAGTCACCAAGAAAGCTAAGGGGAAAAAAAAAACACACGCAATTAAACGCATCTAAACAAAGCCACGTCACCCTTTTCGCCTCCCTTGTCACCTCTCTCTCCTCTCTGTTGGCTTTTCCAGGCCCCTTTGCCTCGCTAAGGCAATTGCGGCAAGGTGTGGACCAAAGAGAATCCACTAAAGGGTCCTATCTCCCAAATCGCCAGGGTGCTTTGTGGTGTCTTACAATCATGATCAATCATGTGTAGTCGTCATGTAGTCTGCTGCGCAGGGGGGGGCTGAGTGACCACACTGGGATGTGTCTTTTATTTTTCATTTGTCGGAAACATCTTCACAGATCTTCAACCTGACTCCCGTGCGGCGCTGCGGGGCTAGTGTCTTCACCTATTTGGAAGTGGCCCAAAAAATACATGCCTAAAAAAACTTCTCGAGACATCTCGAGACCTGGTTTCTTCGAACCTTGTGAAGCAAAGCCCGACGGTCCAAACAACGCTCGGATTTCCCACCCCCCGAGAAGGATGCTCGCGGTCGGTCGCCTGCATTGGGCTCCTGAAAGCAGTGGAGAACGGCTGGAAGCTCGAAAAGGCTGGTCCAGAAGCGATTCTTCACTTGTGAGAAACCCAGCAGAGTTCCTTGAACTCTACCAGGACCCCTTAGCTATAGCATGTGTCAAAGCATAGGTCTAATCTTGAGGTTTCTTGGATGGTTAATGGGGGTGGGCATTATATAACCACTCTGAAACGGCGGCATCTAGTGATGACTTGGTCGCAGTGGGAGTGGTGTGATGCAAACGTTCAAGCAACATCTGGTGATGTGAGACATGGTGAAAACTTGACCTTAACATCTTGACATCACCATGACATCCGAATCAATCCCAACAGGTTTCAGCCTCAGCATTGAAATATCTCGACTTCTAAGATGACTTCTACATAAATTGTATGGACATCAAAACCCTGCTGTTAACCTCAACGAGTCCCAACTGGCAGAATATCGTCTAGTATTCCTGGTAAATATTCGACGGAATCATCATGGAAGTGTAACACCACCAGTTTGCAGTGGAAAACCACCATGCCATCCTCTTCCACGATTCCCCAGAGCGTACATGCTCGGTCGCATCAGTGCCCTCCAACATCGGTGTCAACGGTGTCTCCTCAGTGTCATTGGATCCATTGGCCCGCGAGGACACCCACTCGTCCGGTGTGATTTCCACCTGCAGCGCGACTGGCACAGGTCTCAGGTCTGAGGCATGACAATCAAATGTCACTTCCCAAACACTCCATATATATATAAATAAATACTATAATACATTGAGCCCCACATCTCAACCACCCGTGATCAGTTTTCGGCCAACATGGCAGGCCTTTTGTTCGTGTTTGGGCTTGGCTTTCAACCGCGAAACACTCCTCAACCGCGATGTTCCTACTGACTCATGGTTCTTTAAGGTCAAACCACAATCAAAGCCGAATCCTCCAAAGGCAAAGAGGCCGAATCCATCCGCATCTGAGCGATTATGTTAATGTCAAGTTTGTAACGATATCATGAGTCAAAGGGACCGTTCATTTCGCACATGAGGAACCAAACTCAGTGCTATCTATCTATCTTTCTATCTATCTATATACATATATCTATATCTTTGTAAAATATACACACATAATCACATATATATATATAGACCTTGTAAAATGGTGAAAGTGTGTTTGAACCATCTAGTAGCTGATCATAGTAGCTATCAGGATGTCGTCCCCGTCGCCAAACGAAACCGTTTGCAAATGCTGGTGTTTGCCGCGACGAACGCCAGGACGAACTCTCAAAGTCCCCAAACGAATAGATGGAAACACCATTGCAACATATTGCAACATGTTTTTTTTAAACAAACCGTAGGGCTGTAGGGCTCCAACCATATCCGCAGAAGGTGGTTAGACCCCCAACATCCACCCCACCTTCCGAGGAGGTGGTTGGTGCCCTAGGGAAAACCATGGAAAACACATGTATTTTTGCACCAACTTCCTTCAAGCTTCAAGGTAAGGATATGTTCGGGTCCACCACCTATCTTGTGTTTCTCTATGTTCCCTTTCACCCATGGCTTTGAAAAGCCTTCTTTTCTGCCGGTCGAACACACGTGCCTCCCCACCAATACGGCGATCGATCCACTCGCGCAGCAGCACCTGCGAAGGCGAAAGCATGGCACGGGAGTGAAGGCAAATGATGCCCAGACCGGGCTCCAAGTACCAGGTCCAGTCATACCTTGTGAGGAGGCGACTGGGTTGGTTATGGTGATTGCTCCAGTCACCTTCGCTTCGAAGGTGCGACTGGGGTTGGTTTGGGTCCAGTCATAGCTTCGTTTCCTTGAGACGAAGAATCCCCAGGCTTCGATTCCCCGGTGGGAGCTGCATAGTTCTTCGGACCCTGAAAATAGCTATAGGACCTATTGACCAATTCATACGTCGACTCCTGGACCCTGGACCTTCATACTCTAGAAAATAGGAAGATTGAGCCTGTAATACGACACTCTAGCCATCTCTATGGTCATTTTCTGAGGTACTTGGAGAGTCTAGGTTCTTAACATGGGGAGCGTGTTTAAGACCAACGGCACAATCCCCCAATTTGGTGTTTATATTGACCCCAATACACAAAAAACACGCAGGGGCTTCGCGCCATCTACTCTGAAACCAACGTCAACATGTTTGGAGTCTCATGGTGGTCTTGTAGGAGTAAAGCAAATTAGCCAGCTCTCGTTTTGCCCGCTCAACCCAGGGGTCTGGACGTTTGGGTATGAAAACCTGGTGACTTTGGGGTGCCCCCCCTAAAGCTCAAACAACGGAAAGCTCTGGGTCTTCGCTTGTTGCCGCTTTGGTGGAGAATGAGTGCGTTTGGGTGGAGAAGGTGGGTTCATTCTCCATTTCAAAGCTAAAACGGACATCGCTCTCCTCGTCGGGCAAGAAGCTCCGCTTGGCGTTCATGACAGCAGGGTTCTGACCTGAGCATTGGGGTTCTGAACTCGAAGAATTCATGTCGACGTCCGTAGACTCTGGATGCAGCGATCGGCGTCGGAATTTTCCCCACAACATATAGATAATGATAGATAATATACTAATTTTGCATAGTCTTGTCACCAAGAAACACCTGGACTTGATGATTAATGTTTTTGATAGAAATAGACACACTTAATTAACTTGGTTTTGTCTCAATGTAGAAATTGCTAGCAAAAAGCCGAAAGTACGTTTGCTAAACAATTTCATACAAATTTAGTATGTTCAATCCAATCCACCTATTCTACTAGTCAGTTGATGTTCAGTTATAATTGCTTTAAATGCTGTAAGTATACTATATGTTTAAGAGATGAAGGGTTTGATGCAGCTCATGCCTGGAAAACTGTAGCAGTAGCAATTATGTAGACTGTGAACTATAGAATTTGGATAAACTGATTCATGTGGATGATTTTTGGCTCAAAAGTCCACAGCTGAACAATCTCAATCAATTCTCATATTCCGACGCGCGGTGATGCAGCTAGGTCACCGAGTTGATGCAGCTTACAGCGTGACTTGGACACCACGCCGAGCACCTGGGAGTGCGAGAAAAAGCGCGCGACATGCGCGTTCACAGCGCGGGTGTTGTGCCCGTCTGAGTAGTTGGGTAGCCAAGGAATGCTGGGTAGCCAAGGACGCGACAGGCAAGGCTTCAGGATGCTTGAAGGGGTCTGTGGAATCCTGGTCATCCAGTCCAACACCCTGAGTCACTAACGCCTGCTTTTCTTCGGAACCTGGTCATCCAAGGGGGGGGCCATCATCCACTTCCGCCATGATTGTTTCAGTGAATGATTCGCACTGTTTTCCTGAAGTGCCAATAATAGAGGTTCAAGAACCCTTTTTTGGACTATCCCAGTTGGGTACCCCAGTATGGTCTTATTGTTACTGGTAGCTTCTAGCTACTATAGTAGTAATGCCGCTACTAGTAGCGATGCCCTTGTTACTAGTAGCTTCTAGAACCAGGTTATGGGCCTAATTTACGGTCACTCAAAACCTCTCAACCGGTGGGAAAACCGGACACCCTCGGCTCCCGGGCCGCTTGTCGCAGTTCCAGCTCCTCCAAGGTGAGGCGAAGGTTGTCGAAGGAGACTGGGTAAGGATGGGTGATGTGAATTTGTAGGGATCCAGTCGTACCGAACCTCAGAAGGTACGTCTGGACCCGACGTTTTGGCACCTACATAGCGGCGTGGAACACATCACCTGCTGAGAAGGTAAGGATGTGAATGCAGACTAAGTCTAACATGGGAGTGGCACATGCACAGCACCATAGGCCTTTTTTAGGGATGCACCTGTATCCATCCCAAGCCCACCAAAATAACATCATCCCCAACCCATGTCTCCAACGTCAGATTTGAGGTCAAAATCCGTGGCCACCTGGCCTAACATTGTAAATTCATTGATTTTTGCAAGATCCCAAATTGCTTGGACAAGAAAGGGAAGGCCCAGCCCAAGAATCACCTCTAATCACCCAGTCCGACCCTTTTCACGGACTTTTCGCCTCTCGCAAATCCGTCCCCGTCCACCTCTCCTGGTCGTTGAGGGCATCCTCCGGAAGCGAATCCAGAATGGCACTCGAGTCCTGGCAGCTTCCGTGTGCCTTTGTCGTTCGGTCGGTCGCCGATCTTTGGACGCCGAACGGCGTCCGCTTCGTACGCTTCGGTCGGCGGGTGCAGAAATGGCGCTCCTGATGGCCCTCGCCTCAGTGGCAACAAGAAAGGACCAGGAGATGGTAGAAGACGGTTTTGTGATTGTATATATATATATATGTAGAGAGCAGAGTCACCCACAAAGACTCCGAAAGAAGAACCAACAAACCTATTGGCCGGGAGATTCCAATCTTATACAATTGTATCGGAGGCTGAGGGCTTTGGGGGTAAGAAGCCCCCCTGCGAAGGTGTAGGGACCACCTTCTAGTGTGGAAGGTCCAAGGATTCTGAAAGGGTTGGGGGAAATGAACACATCACAAAACATGAGGTGAACATGGAGTAGTGCTAACATGTACATAAAGTTGTGATGTTGCAAGCCCGATAAGAAGAAAAAAGCAATGAATCTAAGAAATGGAAGCTCGTGAGGATCATGAAGAGGGCGCGGATTGATCCCTTTTGTCCCTGCCCTTGCCCACTCCATGGCACTGCCATATTTGCCCACTCCATGCGACTGCGTTGGGGGTTCAACAAACAGGATCGTATCATGTCCCAAACAGGTCGTGCTTGGCATACTAGGGGCTCCTGGCCTTACTATTAGGAGCGATCGGACGCTACTAGGAGCTCCTGGCATCGCTACGAACGGAGCGATCGGACGCTACGAACGTCCCTGGTCGACCGTTGGCAGTTCCTCCCCCGGTCCCGGTCACCGCCTTCCGCGCGCACGGCGCACGCTGGGAACGCCCGACCAGCCAACATGACCTCCACTTGTCCCCTCCTGAGACGGTCCGGTCAACGGAAAGGTCTGGTGAAAATACGGTGGAGGGTTTTTCAAGGAGTCAACACAGGAGTTCTACGTCAATCTTTTTCAATCCCGGTCTGCCTATACCAGGAGTCACGTCGGGGTGGTCTTTAGTCCCATCCAGTGAGTGGATGAAAGGCACCCCCCAACCTCCATGGATAGCACCCTGGCCTGCATGGAACTGCTGTCCAAACCGTTTTTGTTTCTTCTCCGAGGTGGAATGGTCAATGGTCCGCTGGACTGACCAAGCACTCCGCTAAACACGACCAGAACCCGCCCATGGTGGCCCTCTTTTTCGTATTGGGTGGATTCTGTGCGGGTTGACTCCAGCGCCCGTGTTTCGCCACGGGTCGACTCGGGTGCACATCGAGTTGAGAACGCAAAAGGATGTTCCAATGTGATTCGATCCGTGGCGGGGATTCCGACTCCAAGCCAGTCGATCAACGATGTGGATCCCGTATACCTTCACAGATCTTTCTCCAGTCGATGCGTCATCGAATGTCAATTCGGAAGCACCAAACCCAAAACACGGGCACCATTGCTGCTGCCGGCCATACATCTCCAAATTGAAAACGAACACATACACAGGATCCATTGGAGTTGCCTTGAACCGAGTCATTTTTCCGTTGGAGTTTCCATCTGTCGCGCTTCCACCGCGACTCAGTCCGTGTGAAGGTCGGTCCGGTCTCCAGGTGCCCCGGGCACGTTGTTCTTCAGCTCGATCTCGCCGCCCACGCGCGCCTCGATCCAGTCCTCCGCTCGGTGTCGATTCTTTACCCCGGTGAACGTGGGTCGAAAAGGACTCCAAGGTGACGTGGGTCGTCTGTAAGAATTACCCTAATTAGAATCCGGGCCCTCAAACAGATAGGGTTTTGAGGGCCCGGACCCCTGCGTTTCGGTGTCGGGTCCGACCCCTGCCATGGAGAGCCCAAGGATTCTTAGGGTAGGCGTGTTTGACAGACCGCTCCAAGAGTTGGCCAAACCAAAGAACAGTTGGGCGTGTTGTCAAGACTTTTGTCAAGAGTGTGTTTTCAAGAGAGCGTGTAGTCTTGAACAGAGCGTGTTAAAAAGAGTTTGCTTGTTGAACATGAGATCATTTATAGGGAGGCTTTGAATGAGGGTCATCTTTCCAGCAAAGTGATGTGAGCACTCCTCAAAAAAGAGTCATTGATTTGATGTTAAAAGCTTTCGGCCCCACAACACAGCCCCATGCCCTCTACCCGCAGCTCCGGCAAATTGAGGGCCTAGTTGGGAGATGTGGAATTTCTGGGAGCCAAGGGAAAAGGTAGACCACCACAATATCCCTGGGTATTTAACATGCTTAACCTGGTTTTGTAGTGTAAAATCCTTGGTCAAACCATGGTGGTTCGGCAAAGACTATTAAATCAATGGTGGTCCGAATCCTAGGAATCCTAGGGATATGTTACAACCTAATGAAATGTCTACAAGTGGATGCTAACTTTGAGACTCATAGTGATCCTGGCTTCAACTGAGTAGCATCTTTTTTGCAAATGTACCGCGTAGCCACCGCGTAGCCACCGCGTAGCCACCGGGTAGCCACCGTTTTACAGCTTTGTGTAGCCTTCTCGTAGGGGAACTATTACGAGTAGGCACCGCGTAGCCTACCTCTACAGTAAAAGCGACCTCGCGTAGCCTCTCGCGGAGTTCCCCTTACTGCGTAGCCAGTGCGTAGCCTACCCTTCAGCAAAAATGGCCTCGCGTAGCCGCCGCGAAGGCGATGAAAAAAACACTGCTCAACTGCTGAACTCTAGATGATAAAATGCCACGCATATGCCACACCCCTCCTGCCTGCAGAGTGGAATGGCTTTGCTCAAAATGGAGGGATCTGTGTGTGTGTGATGCTTGGAGATGTCTTCATGGCTTTGGAAACGTCTTTGAGCGTGTTGGGGGAATCTTGAAGGTCTGGAATCCATCTTTGGATCTGGTCTTGAAAACACCTGCAAGGCATCTTCTTGTTGTTGAGGAAAAAGGACAAAAAATCAACCTCTTCCTTGGAAGGAGATTAACACCCACCGGGGAAATACATCAACATCACCCGATGCACAAAACCTGGTCGCACACACCCCATTCCCGCGTTTGCCCACTTGATTCGGAACACCTTCAGGGAGACATTGGGCGGTAGCAGGGCTGCACGGCATTGGGCTATTCGTGGGTCATTCATGACCTCAGCATTGCCATGCTCATCAGCGTGGAGAAGAAAATCACGTGTATATATATATATATACACACCAGGACCCTCCAACAGGTCACCACCTGCTTTAAAAAACATGTTCGTGAAAATCGCCTGTGGCTCACCAATAATTACACGCCCTTAGCTTGTGTATAAACGCCGTGGAATATCAAAAAAGAACATCTGAAAACTAGAGAAACATCCGCAGACTCAAATATAAGGCTGTGACCCCAAAAAATGTGTTTCATGCCGCAGATCGCCAAACAACACACTCGGATGTTCCAGGTATAACTGTATTATATATATATATAGATATGCATACATTGGAGACCGAGGGGTACTCACTGACACTTTGGGCATCCACCAACCAGTTCTGACCGACATCTTGGTGGTCCAGGTGCTGTTCCAAACCCCGGGCAAACAAAAAAAACAATACTTAGGTGCAGGATACTCTCCAGTGCAGAAATTGGTCCATCGAAAAACATCACTGACACAACATTCCTTAAGAATCCAGCCCCTCAAACACAAAAAATTTGGGCCCCAATCCCCTGTTGTAGGCACCTTTCAGGACTCTTGCATGCAATGGCAGTTCTTTCAACAACTGGGGCGACCACCTCTCCCATCAAAGGAGCTGCCCACTTTCCCTTGCCAGCTGACCTGGACCGCTCAACATCAAGGGCGCTGCGGCTCTAGGGCGATTCGGAGTGGCCGTGTAAGACTCGCGCGGTCAAGGACCCCCGCTGCTCGCAGACTATGAGGTTCGTTGAAGGTTCGGGTTGGCGCCGAAACACCGCAACTTTCGAAAAACAATTAACGGTGCCGAAACATGGAAAACCAATGTGTGAAAATCTAATAATCTAATCGTGAAAATCAATTTCATCTTATTGCGACACCCAGGACCCAAGAAGTGGTGAAAATCCGTCGAGCCTCGTGTCTGCTCATCCCGGCGCCGAGGGTTCAATCGATGGATCCACACATCGACTTGCAGCACACACCCACACATTGACACCAGAAAAAATCAACAAAAATTATCATCATTCAAATCATATGGGTTATAACATTCAAATAACATATCATTATTAACTGTACCACTTTCTTGTGTTAAGGCAACCAGACACACAGCTACCGGCATTGGAAGACAAGAACACCGTTCCGACCTCCGTTGTGACGACTGCTTCAGCCAATCCAACAGCGCTTGCCGTAAGTCCACTTCTTCACCTGGCAGGGGCGATCTGCACGGAATGAGCCAGCTGGCGGTCTGAGGCAGCATCGTATGCCAGCACAAAAGGCACGGTATAACCAACAAGAGGGCTGGAAACAAAAACACTACAGATCTGAGCATTACAGCAGTTCAACGCCTCTTGCGCACCGTTTGAGATGTAGCGCCTGTCAGTTCGTTTTGCGGCAAGCTGTCCAGCCAGCGCTCCTTACCTCAGGGCGTGCGAGGCGCCGATCGAAGCCTGGGAGCCATTCAGCCTACTTAGCGTCAGACGTGCGAAGTTAGCAACGACCGAGCTATATCTAAAGCCTATGGGGATCATTGAGCCTTGGTCCTTGTCACTTGTTGGTCTGCCAAAGATCAAGGATGCGACTTATATATCATCTATCGCTGTCTCATCTCTTAGCCTCACGGCACCTCTGCAAGTGCATTGCTCAATGCGGCCGTCGGCTCAAGAAGAACAAGTTTCAGGAAGCACGGTCGATGTCGTTGACAGAACAATGGGCCATCTGGTATCTAAAGCCACAGTACGGTCAACCCGGGTCCATCATTTTCAACTTGTGCTGGAAACGTGTGCTGGATTTGCTGTAGTGGACGCAAGCAAAAGCGGAATGAAAAGAATGGCTCAACACTTAACCCACTTTCCCTTCAATGGGTGCTTTCGTGGGGCTGGGTGTTTTGGTTTCTGGCTGGGCTTGGGGCTTGTGCGCTCGCTGTATATAGAAGCTACATGGGCCATGAAAGGGCCTAAGGGGCCTTCATATCACAGTAGATGCACGCGGCAATTGGCTTGCTGCTGGCAGCAGCAATTGTCACTGGTCGCTGCTCCACTACCACTCAGACATGTGTCAAGCAAGATGCAGCAAGAGTGTCCTGAAGAGTGCGAGTGCCCAACAAAATCGTGTCAAGCAAGAGTGCCCTGAAGAGTGAAGCGCGTCAAGCAAGAGTGTTGTCGAAGAGAGCTTCCTTCAAAAATGAAACAAACACGTTTATTAAGTTCTTGAGACATGTTCTTAGCCGCGTAGTGGTGAAACGTTTTCATTTTGGTTCGGTTCACCCACCAAAAGCTAAATAAGTGAATCCGTTCTGAACCGAATTGTTGTTTAAACCGCACTGTCCCGGCAAATCATTTCCTCGCAGCGGCTGCAAAGTCTTTGCAGGTGCGCAAAGGTAGTTCAGAAGACGGAAACGGGTCACAGCGGCCGCTGGCCGCCGAAGATCATTTGCGCAACTAGACTAGCTAACCAGAGGAATCGGTCTTCGGAAGCCTGAGACTTTAACATTCCGTGCTTTTCAAAAGAAGTAGCAAGCGATACTTGCGATATCACTGACTCATAACTTGCGCCCCCCCCTCAAGCCTCACGCTCACTCAATGAACCTGAATGAACCTCACAAATGCTTGCGGGTTTCCGTCTATTGGACAGAACCGTGCAGTTCAATGAAGACTGAGTTGAACTCATGGAAACTAAACTAAACTGAACCCAAACTCATTCGTAGAAGACATGAGAAACAAATTCTGGTTCTGGGATAATGTTTGACGTAATGTTTACGTCCACCGATTAAACAGATACAGCTGAACTCCGTAAACAATCAAACTAACACAACCTCCTTTGACCTGTGTGTGAGCATGTGAACATGTGGGAGTTGGCACAGCCTGCAAGCAACTTGTTTCAAAACATGTCTGTGTGCAACGCGCGCTTTTGGTCTGCTTTGGAGATACATCTGGATCAATCTGCATTGCTGGCATTGCTCTCAACCCCACGGCTGGAAGAGGCTGATTCTGAACTTGAATCGGACTCGGAACTTGATGAGCTTGAACGGGAAGATGAAGAAACTGCTTTTCTCGGCGCAGAACCAGCACAGTGCCCCCCAGCGCGGTTGGTGGTGGTTGGTGGTCTCCTTTTTTCTTGCCCCTTCTGCGCGCAAGGTCACCGTCTGCAGCCTCTTGCTTGCAAAGCTCTATGACTAAAGAGGCGTAATTCCCCAAGCATTGTACGCTTTACCTTGAGCCTGAGCTACCCAGCTCCATCACGCATAGAGCCACGGTAGCCTTGATTTCCGGCCCTGGCGGCTGACGATGAAATGTCTTTCGACTCTTTTCAAGGAAGCCGCTGCTGTGTGTCAGCAAGGAAAAGTGGTAATTAGGTGGGTCTATCAGAATTAGACGCGACGCTCCTTTCAAGTTGCTACATTCATTATGGAATGGTCAGCGCAAACATAACCCAAAGCGCTCCGCGCCTGAAAAGGAAGCAAGCAAACAGCACACAGCCCTTGCTGCGTTCTTGAGCAAAAAAACAGCCAAAGCTAGCACCTCAAGCTCAAAACATGCCAAACGTTGCGCAGCGCAAGGCTGGTCTCTTCATGTGGATAGCAAAGCATCTTTTACACAAAGTCCTTCTTCTGGCACAAAGAAGCCAGGCTTTCGTTGTAGTGAACACAATGATGCAATATCTCTGTAATTGCTCGAGACTGCTTCCTGCACAATCGGCCGCCTACAGATCCGCAAAAAAGCAACCATGACCTGCCCACTTGTGATGCGCCATGACCTGCCCGCTTGTGATGTGCAACACTCAGCAGGCTTGACATGGAACCCGTCCTCAAAGGATACAAACAAGTCGTGGATGTTCAACTTGTCAACATATTTCATCGAAGTACAACGCATCCCACCCACCACAGCAGCTCTTTAAAACGTGTCTCCGGCCTGACCAAGCTGGGCCGAAGGACCCACCGGGCCGGCGCTCACCGGAGAGGTTGCTTTTGTTAGATGCGCTGCTACCCTTCCCACCCCTGTCAAAAACCAGATTGGTCGTGTTTTGGGAGAATCTTAGTATATTTGTGATTTCTGTACAAATGTGCTGCGTCGACGTGCTAGGTGCACTATACTGGGTACAGCTCACATGGCAGTTAAGGCATCAAGTGACAAAAGGCAATGCGCATGATTTGGGAATGCGTCAGTTTCCATGTATGGTTTCTAAATCACATGTCATGCGAAGGTAGTATACCGATACCAGCAACATCCAACAATGCTGCCGTAACATAAACAAGTCAGTGTCTAGCATCTAGAGGGCCTCTATGTTTGGCCATGGTTATTGCTTTACAGATGCAAGCCTTTTAGAACCCTGTGATTATGTCAAAATAAATTCAACAATGACATGTATATACTTCAAAAAACATACCAGCAAAAACCTAATACTGTTTTTGATATTAACACTTGTAGCTTACCTGCAGACTTCGTAAAAATGGAACTTGTAACATTTTGCTTTTTATGAAAACGACGAATTGAATTTTTGGAATTATCGGAATAGAAACACTTGAATTAAGATCAGCCACCTATAAAGTGCTTACCCGCAAAAAAAATAGCTATTTCTGTACCCGAAGCTAGTTCTAAAACCAACCATTTCCAAATCTCCAGGTTAGCCAAAATACTTCAATATTACATTAAGTAATTAATGGGATTTGGTGGTTTCGACTTTTAGTTTCAATATTTTTACTCATGTTGTATTAAAGCAGCTCAAATAGCTTAAGCAGAATATATATACTTTATTTTTTACTTTGCTAACCTTGTTAAAACTATTTATATAACTCTTCAGCCACAATAAATATTATGTTTTGGCTGGTAATTCCAGGACACCGCGTGTACGCACGATCCGGATTCCGTGCGTACAACCGAAGCCCGGTCCCGTTTAAACCGCAGCACGCAGCACCAAAAACACCTGAAAGAAAAGCTTCGGGGTAGCTACCCGTTGTACCAAAGCTGCCGCACAAGCTCAAAAAGGTTTCACAGGGATTGAATGGTGGGGTCAGATTGTGGGGTGCAAATTATGTGTCACTGCACGGGCTCCAATGAATAGGCCAGCAGAATGCATATGTATGCATATGTTAATGGCTCTTCAGAAACCTTATTGAAGAACTGATCGGAGTGTCCTGGCAACCAATGATCCTCATGGGCAGTAAGGACAACTACTAGTAGGCTCAATGATCCTTCAGCTCTCATTGAGCTATACGGTATACGGATATACGAAGCGGGGCAGACAGTCAGAGCGTGAAACCTATCCTCAGCCATGACCTCAAACTTGGACCCGAAGGTCCAAATTTCAAGTCGTAGGGGTGTGTTGTGTATTTGACATCCCCGAATTAGACAGGTCCAGGTATCTCCTTTTGGTCTTTTAGTTTGGAGATGCAAGTAATTACAGTTCAACTAATCTCTGAACCTCAGGAACCAAAGGCATCAACCAGTTCTCCTGACACTTCTGCGAAACTCCTTGGTGCTTCGTCTGCCGTCCACCTCTGCCGCTGCGCTGAGCGGCTTTGAGGCTTTCCTTTGGCTGCGCCCTGAAACATCGAGCGAAGCATCTGAGGTGACGTGATCACCTTGAGGTAGGTGTCTTGAAATAGTCAATCAATCTTCCAAACACCTACCAGCACCGGAAACCTGCCAGGTCACCACCTGCGACTTTTAAGTCTCCAAAAGCTACCAAAGGAGACCTGTTGGAGGGCCCTGGTCTTTGCTACATTCCATCAGAATACAGTTGAGACATGTTAAGAACCTATATATCATGACGTGGTTTCGAGTAGGGTAAATTCACTCAAAAGACTACATCCATCTCTACACGTTTAATGGACGAATCCACCGACACATGACCATTGTCATTGACTTCTCACAACCTCAAAATGAAGGGTGTTGATGTGCCAATGACGCGAAAACAAAAAAACAACACCTGTGTTGGTGCTTCTTTGACTTCTTGGTAAGCCTGGGTGTCGTATATGGATGGTTCGTTCGTCCACATCTCTTCGCTCCATGAGAGGCTCTTGAGATCCGTACGACGAAAACACATCTTGGGTGTTGCGGATAGGGGGGGGCCAGACCAAATTGGTGTCTCACGCACCAGGTCCAGTCTGAGCCATGGAAAGCTGGTCCTGAAAACCTCATTTGAGTAGTGTTAGCGTTTCTAGATGACCAAAGCATACCAAAGCATACCAAAGCCATGATAGAAAATGAGGTCAGTTCCCGGCTAGTCTTTTTCTTTGAAGGATGATCCCACCCGATCCGCTTCGACACCCTGTGCCACTGGGTGAGTTGAAACTTCTCTCCCCTCCCGCCTTTCCAGGGTATTGCGGCGGCGGCGGTGGAGGATACCTGAGCGAGGCACGACGGGGGTCAAAGACTTGACAAATCTGCTTTCCTGAACCCCAGGCCGGAGATGTCAGGCAAATCAGGTGATTTCTCATGCGAACTGTTCACCTCTTTCAATTTGGCATGGAGGGAAACCATGGGTTTCCCGCCGAAAAGGTGTTGCAAGTGATCTTAGGTGGACTGCAGGGTAGGTATCATGGCACAGTCCACTTATCCTAAACAAGGAACCAAATCATTTGTGTTTCAGCGCTTCTTCAGCCCTAGAAGCTCCCATCCTAGCTAGGAGCTCTCCTGGCTAGACAAGCTAAACAAAGTTTGACGCGCTCGGCCTCGCAGGGGCCGCTGCGGGCCTGGCGGTGAGGGGAACATCCGCACCGTGTGGTTGGTACTGTTGGGTTTGCGACAGGCCGTGGAGGGTTTAGTCGATGACATCACCATGATTTCAAGGAGTACTGTAACATACCATTCAAATCCATTCAATACCATTCAACATGGAGTATAACTACCAATATGTCTCGATGTGTGTGTGTGTGCGTGTGTCACTCCTGCCTTCTGTGTGTCACCAGCTGTTGACCCACCGACCTACCAGACCGACGCCACCGACCTTTTTGGAGACTGCAGGAGACCCGAGGCTGATCTGAAGTGAGGGGGGCTGAGATGGTCCGAAGATGGTCTGAAATGGTTTGAGGGGGCTGAGGGGTCTGTTTTTCCAACATGTGAAACAAACAATCATTTGAGGGTCCAGATTCTTTGTCTAGAACTCTGGGTGTCAAGCAGCTGGTCAAGAGTAAGGAAAGGGACTGTTTCGAGGCGACCAATGATCCACTCAGACTGCTGGAGCTCATATCTTTCTGTTGTGTCTCAACATCCCTGCGCTGCTGCTCTGAACCTGGCAGGCGGAGGATTGGCCTCGGCAGCGTCGAGTCGGGCGCGACCGGGTGGACGACTCGTCACACGGCAAAGAGCCCTTTTGACCCTCCAAGTATATACCTCAGAAAATCATCACAAGTATGCACAAGTATTAAATAGGGTCATGTCCCATATTCTAGAGTACGAACTGGAGTGTCCAGGTAAAGATTTGCATCTTCAGCAGGTCGAGTCTGGGACAGTGTACAGATAGTCACATGTGTGTCTGGTTTGATCCATATTTATTTGATCTATACTTGAAGAAAGACGTAGGACTGGCTGTATGTTGCATGGCTGGTCCAAACACCAGGTCATTGAGTCATTGAGGTTCTAGGTATCAAGGTCGGTCCACACTTGCCCAATGGGTCGCCCCAGCATTGCGCTGTTGGAGCAAGGCGTTGTACTTGTCTGAGACCTGAGAAATGCGGTGTCAGATTGGTCCCGATGTTCACTCCCATTCACCCAAGAACAACAGTACAAACAAAATACCTCAAAATACGTCTGAAGGAAGAAAAGCAAAGATCTTTGCGCAACATCTTTGCGCAACGGTGTCTTTCTTTTTAACTCCGTCGTCTCTATTTGGTGAACCCTTCGAGTGTCCAGTGTCGGTTTCTTGAAAGAACACCGAAACTCGGAAGCTGGGAGTCTCCAGGTCACCACCATCTTTGGCCAAAGACATCTTCCGTCCGGTACATCCCAAAGCCAGGGACGCCAGGGCTTTTAGCGGATCGACTTTGACTTTGGCAGACCTTTCCCCCCCAAAATGGATAGCCAGGAGTCGCATGTCCGGGAAGTCAGTCCCATTTCCATGTGACAAGGAGGCACCCCGACAGCACCCTCCATGGATAAGCATACCGACATGGAACTGCTGCAAAGTGATTACCTGCCCCCGAGTCATTTGCCAGGTCACCCCTCTGTCACATTTCACCAGGGGCCCCACAAACCATCAAAAACCTGGTTTCCCTAGCAAAAAAAGCATGTTTATTGAATGTGAAAACCTGTGTTTTCTCATGGTTTTGAGGGTCCCTGGAGTCGTCTCCATTTCAACCACCAAAACTGCCCTGGAGACCTCGTTCGGTACTAGAACTCTCCGTCTGCGACACCTACTGCGACACCTACTGCGACACGCATACATTGGCACACGCAGCTTCCTCGGAAGGGGAAAACGCCAACGGGTCGATTTCGCGTTGATTCGGTCGGGAGGGTTTGGACCGAGGAGGGAAGGACCGAGGATGAGGAGTGGGACTGAGTGGGACTGAGTGGGAAGGAGGGAAGGACATGGAAGGACGAGGTTGACCTGGGGGTTGACCTGGTAGTCTAGTCCGTTCAGAACTGAAGTGGTCAAGGTGTCACAATTTTGACTCACACATACTCACACCCAATGAGGTTTCACCCAGAAGGCGTCCAAACAAACCTGTTCTTGCCATTCACTGGTTGCATCCCTGGTGCGACTTCTCTTAGACTTTGAACACGCACTCTAGGACTCTGAGATACTCTGAGACAGGGAGACGTTTCTATGTCCCTTTTGAGAAGGGATCTATGATAGAAGATCCCCAGGTCGTGTTTGAAGCTAAGCGGAAAACTAAAAGCGTCACAACGAGCGTCAACTGGGCCGGCTTTTCACCTGAGGCTTCCACAATCTTCCTGGCCTCAGGACTTGTGACCGACCAAGGTCGGTGGGATGTAAATTCTGAAGAAAACTCCTTCCAAGTAGTTGGCTGGCGGCTGATAGAACGCCGCCAGTTTTCTTCATGTTTTTGCTTTCCAGTTGATGCTACGTTGGGGATGGGGGTGGGGTGGGGTGGGGTGGGGTGGGGTGGGGGTGGGGTGGGGTGGGGCATGTTAACGTTCGCTGGCCGGGTGGCCTATGTTCCGAACCTTCCGAATGAGGAACGCCTGGGATATCTCGCTATAGCTACATACCCAGTGACTCTAGTGACATCCAAAGAGACTGTGAAAATGGACCCCCAGTGAACCAAAACCAATGAGACCTCGCTAGCCTAATGAGACCTCGCTAGCCGAGGCTGGATGTCTGGATGGATTTGGGGAGCTGACCCCTTATATTGTCCAAGGTCCGCAATGAGCCTTTATTTCGTACCCCAAACAGTTGTGCTGCATGGAAGATGTACCCTACATTGAACCTGATAACATCTAAAAACCACCAATCCATATACTCAAATATTAGATACCCTAGGGCTCCAAAGTACCTCCTCCTCCGGTATTTGGAGGCTCCTAACGCGCCCAACACCTTCGAAACGAAGGTACGACTGGAGCCCATCCGGGCATAATAAGTTACATAATACAGTAACTTTATATTGTTAATGTACACACATGTGCAATATGTGCACATTACATCACATTACCAACCCTCCAATAGTTTGAATTGTCTGAGTCTTGTACCGGCTGATGACCTGTGCTAGAGGGCACCATGGGATAAGTGCAAACATCAACCCAACAGGCCCTCCGAGAAGTGCATGGTGTTTCATACCAGCAAACCAAAACTCAGAACCTCATCAGGTGAGCCTGGATAGCCAAACTTCAGAGGCTTATGTGCTGGTGTCTCAAACAGATCTGGAACATTGAAGGTCTTCCATGGTGGAAACCCTTACTAAATCTTATCCAATGTTCAGCCAAAGAAACTTAGAACATATATATGGCGATGCTTCAAAAGCTATTGCATACAGCCTAAACATAGACGCCACAAAGAAGAAGCCATGATGTATAGCGAAACGCACACCTTCCGTGAAACCCTTTCACCCCACACGGCGGGCCGTCCTTCCGTACGCCCCCTAGGAGCGTCCGGACGCTACCATCCGTCCGTCCTTCCGTACGCCGACATGGTGTGTCGGTCCGTCTGCCCACCTCAGGGCTGCAAACCTTCACGACCTCCTGGCGATGTGAGGTGAGCGCGAAAGTCCAGAGGGGTGCAGGGGGGGAGTTCGAAAGTCCAGAAAGTGGAAGGAAGCCTGATTCCTGATTCCATGATTCCATGGCACGTTTTTTCTGAAGAACATAACGCATGGATCATGGACCAGAATATGAGGGCTAACCCTGCTAGCCCCCTTGCAAGAAAAGGAACAAGTACTGGAACAAGTATATCCATGTATATCCAACCAATCAACCACCACCGTGCTCTTCTACCATGTAACTGGTCGTGCCCCGTCGGACATCTCACTTACCAGGAGCGAGGTCGCCTGCCTGGTTGCTTCGGAAGCTTTAGTCCGACGATTGGAGCACAAAGGCTTAGCAAAGTGGCTCCAAACTATACCAAGAGTGATATATCAACTCAAGTGGAACATGTGGAATGCCAAAAGGAAGCATCAACCATTCCCACACACTCCACGGGACTGCCATATTTGCCCATCAATTGGGTCAATGGGGCGGCAGGATAAATGTCAGCCCCTGTCGTTGCGGTAGAAAAAGAGTTTGTAGCGCTGTTTCTCGATGTTTCTCTGTTTTTTTCCTGCTTCGTTGCTGTTTTTCAGAGCTCCTTTCACCTCATCCGTTCTCCGTCGGAGCACGGTCCGTTTCTCTCTCGGCCCGTGCAGCACGGTCCTGGTCGATCTCGATCTCCCCGCCGATGCGCCGCTCGATCCAGTCGCCCAAGGCCACCTGAAATGGACCGTCGTCGGGGTGCCGGTGCCGTCGAGGACGGGTGCCAACAGGAAAAGAGGTCAGTGAGGTGGCTTGAAAAGACCTCAGTGTATCAGTTCGTACCTCAGAAAATGGGTATATACAGTTATAATATTATATACTAGCTGCTTTTTGGGGGGTATGGCTCAGTCCATCCAGTGAGTGGATGTGGATAAGGGGCACAAGGGATGTGCAGCGCTTCAATCAGGTATAACCGTACCATGTACCCCTGGAAGTGCAAGAATTTGGCCACGATATATCATATCACGATATACTATGTACCATAGGGTATCGATTCCTGGACCATCCATTCTGGGTGTCCTGGAGATTCCGGATAGTAGGATCGTCCAGGACACTCAAACCGGATGTAATGGTTGTGGCATATATAAGTTATGCATAGTTATGCACCATTTGAAAAGATTCTCTAGCTTTAAAATGATTTAAGTCTTGGGGATAGCCTACGGCCTACCCACTTATATGTCTCTTATGGAACACAAAGTCTTTCTTTAGAAGCACAACAGCAAGGACAATCCACCATTGGCAAGCTAGTGCCCTTCGTCAGGTTTCACTGTGGTCTGGGCACACTTCACTCTGGTGGAGATCGGAGATTATCATCCCACTTCTCTTTGCAAGCAAAGGGAATTACACCATTTATCACCATTTCACGTTCAAGCCTTACACCTTATCACCCAGAAGAGTACCGATACCACTGCAAAATCCAAAGACACCGCGGTCGCAATCGTTCGTGTGGGGAATGGTATGGAACGGTCGTGTGCCCCTCTCTGCCCTTGTTTCCACGCCCACCTAGCTAGATCAACTGGACCAATGTCCTCCCTGTCCAAGCAAGGCACGGACGAAGGCAAGAAGTTTTTGCAACAGCCTCGAACGTTGGCATCCGAACCTCAAGCGAGCAAAGGATGGATGACTCATCTGTCGCTGGATGACTCGTCCCTCAAATTCAAGTCGGAGTCCAAGTATAGCTTCTTTTCGGATGGTCTTGGAGTAGAGAGAGTCCTTCCACGTCCTTCCAGGAGAAAGGTCTTTGGTGCTAAACCCAAACCATCCATGTGTGGCGTTCCTTCATAGATCGTCGTTCCCTCGGTGGACCAGTCCGTCCATGTCGTGGACCGACTGGACAGCATAGTCGTCTTGACCCGGAATGGCGGTCGGTTCATGTCGGTCCTGGATTCGGGGGTCATCAGGGTCGTGGCTGAAGAGGCGTTCGACGGCACCAACCCAAAGATGCTTTTTATATTGTTTTTTTTAATGCTGGGGTCCATATAAACCACTCGCTCCACTTCAAAAGGACCAGTTTTGTTACGAGGTCCTGCTGTAAATGACCTAGTTTTACGAGGTCACTTGACTTGGAGGGACTGTATATGCATGTATATGCTTACTTATATACAGTAGTTACTCAGTAGTTAACTATATTCCAGTCCTGGGGGCCTGGGGGGGTTGTGGTTCAAGGACCGGAGGAGGGCCATTGGGCCGCCGGAGTCCTGGAATGTCCTGGAGCAAGCTCCATGGCCATGCACCGACCTGTTCGTAGCGTTTTGACCCGGGCACCCTGGTTGACCCCCTGGTTGACCCCAAAAAAAACATAGGTTTGGGGAGTGAGAACCGTCCCAAACCATGTACCAAACCACAGTCTTTGGTAGTTCTTGTGAACATAAAGACACACATGGACCAATCCTCACCTCACCGCTAAGCCTTGTTGGCGTGTAAGGTTTGCTATCGCACTTCACCAGCTCCGGAGGAGACGAACATGTTCGGATTAGACAAGGCTCTATACATGGACCCTCCAATTGCCTTAGAAAATGGGACATGACGTGCCCATATAAAAACAGGTACGTATGTACTCATTGTCCAAGGCACTTTGAGACTACAGGTTCTACTGCTGAATACTGTGAACCCATTGTTGATAGGCATGTAGTTAATGCATGTTAATGCCGTATGTTAACAACGTTGGTCATTGACTTGGTGTACCCATCGTCTGTACAAAGTCCCCCCAAATCCCTTGAAGGAAACGGTCACTTGCCCCATTTAGCACCGATACGGAATTCCACCCGCAGCCCAAATCTCAGGATTCATACCGTTGATGGCACTAAATTCAGCACTAAAATGTACTAAAATATATACATCCTAGAAATCTCAATCTGTCGGTACTTCTTCGTAGACTCAGACCTTCCGATCTCACCCACCGACCAGTCCCAGCTCCCCGGTGATTGACGGGAGGGCTCCCTGGATTGGTCGAGGCGCTGAGGTCATGGATCTTCGCCCAATCTGGGGAAGACCAGGCTGCCAGGAAGTCGAAAATCGACTCGCGCCTCGAGATGGGGATGTCATGTGGTGCGACAGTTTTTTTGGTTCCGATACCTTCCATCCGACGCTTTGAGAGATCCGAACCGTGCATCACCATCAGTCCGACCCTTGCATCATTTGCTCCCATGAACAAAGGGCCAATGGGTGTATTAGGCAGAATCGGCCAAAGATGGGAAGAAAGTAACTCACAAAAAGCATCTAAAACCCCCATTTGTTGGCTCACGTCAAAGGTGGGGACAGCAGGCCTATTTGTAGCAGGCCTGGCCTTGACTCAGGCCTCAAAAAACCCATTGGTTGTGAGCTCTCCCTCCAGGCATTGGATGCTTGATCAGATCCGGCTGAGGCTGGGGCAAGGCTTCCTCCTCCTGCCAAAGAATGGATAGGTTGCAGAACAAATTCTTCCAGAACAAACACACCATGTGACCGAACAAACGCAGGTCCTCAGTTCAGGTCACCCCCCCCCAACAAAGGGAACACATTTGGTCGAGGCCCAACAAGTGAACAACACCCGGGAGTTTCACTTCTCCACACAGCCAGGTGTTCGTCTCCGTGCCTGAGAGGGATACTGAGGGAGACCCTCTGGGTTTGTCTCCAAGAAAAAACCAAGGCGACACCATTTGCTCGTTTTTGGGACCAAGCGGACATGTCGCATCCTTTTCTGGCCGCAATGGCGGAGGGTCGATCTGAAGTTCTGCCACTTTGACGGTCACGAAACACTCAGAATCATGAACGGTCCCCTCAAATGGGAGTGGTAACATCCAACGTCCTGAACGAGCTGCATTCGGAAGTGCACACCCAGTCCCACCTTCTTAGAAGGGACTGGGGCCCGTTCGGATGGATCGACTATAACGCAAAATCCAGCTTCGTCAGTTCATGACCTGCTTGGAGGTCCCTAATGGGTCCCGGAGTGGTCACCTCAAACCAGCTGGATATCAAGTTGGGTCGCTTTGAAGAACCTGATATCGATTAAACGACCATCTGGCTACTACGTGGAAACCAAATCAACTCCTGCCAGCTCTAGGTGGAGCATCGTTTGCGAGATTTGTAGGTTCTTCTTGAAACGGTTTGATTCATTGGGGAGCAAATCAAGAAAGCTAGAAAGTGACGAACTTGGAGGCTAGGGGTTTCACCCATGAGCCACTCACTGGATTTCGCTATGTTTGAAACAACGAACCACTTGTAACCTTCCGCTCGCATCTGCTCGCCGTTGAACCTTCACTTCGTCCATCGGGCTCCCCCAGTCCTTGGAAAAGCTATCATCCTTCAAGCCAGCGAAGAACGCCTCCCGCCGAGCTCCACGCAGTAGACGCACTAGGCGTAAGTAGGCGTATAAGCTTCTCTTCTCAGACGCGGAGAATCTCGGTGAATAGATCGATCAAGATCAACGAAGGTCTGTGGAGAGTCGAAAATGTTTCAAGTAAACTTGTCTTTGATCTTTAAGGTGTGTATACTGCAAGGAAACTTAAACCACATCATCACATCAGAAAAAAGACAGCAACACTTCCTTAATGTGCTGCTTGCAAGAGCATATACCTTTCATATGACAGTCCTTGAAGCAAACCCATAGATTCAAAAAACAAACCATGTACAATTATCTACAAAAGCCGTTCTTTGCAGGAATTTCACACCTGCCACCGGGGGAAAGTCCGGGGAAAGTAGCCAGGCAAAGCACTTTGTTCTATCTTCCTGGACGCAACTTCATTCATAGAAATAGGACATGACCCGTAAGAAAACCAGCCAGGTACCATCTAGTACCATCTATGAATCATGCCGACGCCGACCATCGCCTCGTCGGTGCCCACGTGCTGCGTGTAGAGCGGCGCCGTCTGGGGCCCAAAACGGTCGATGAACATGGGACTTTTGGAGAGAAGTTCTGAGGATCGTCCTTTTACCTGGGGTAGTCCTTTGTTTCTTTGTCTGTTCTTTTCTTTAGAGTTCTGTACCAAGGTGAGAGGTTTTTCCAAAGTAATTAATGGAAGATGTGATGTCTTGGAAGAGGAGTCAAAGCTCATCCCCAAATAAGGACCTGTTCATGTTGTTTTGTCCGTTCATTCAAATTTAGTTAGATGCACGTAGGCTACTGGCACGACCAATGGCTGCTTCAGGCAAGAAAGTATCATTTCATTGCTGTGAGACACGTAACCATGCGCGATCACCGTCACCTGTGCAATATGGAAAGGGTTAAATTATGACCGTACCCAGACCGTCCATGTATGCAATAGTTGCCGGGCATTAGGCCTCATTAGACTCATGTTCATGGGCTTTTCATGTACAAAGGATTGAGAGTAGATGGCACAAACCCCAAAAGGTGGTTTATATATGATGTTTATATGGACCCCTAAGAAAAAGATATCTTGGGGTCTAACCCCATCTACTCTGAAACCACTGTAGATAACTATTCCAGTCAAATTATATAGTCGTGTCTGGGCTACCTCGTACTTCGAGCATCTCCAACTCGACCAAACCAAGTGACACAAGCACCAGTTGCGTGTTTTTTTTTCTGAAAAACATCAGACAAAAAGTAGCTTTTTTGGCTGTGGAGTAGTTGTCTGGAAGCCCGTCCTGAAGTTGTTTTTCACTGGCTGTTCTCTCCCTGCATATGGGCTCCCAAGACTCATTGATCCCACCTCTTCCCAAACTGAGGTTTTGGCCGGTATCAAAGCGATTTCAACTCAGCGGCATGGGGCGGTTGGCATATGGTCGTCACTGGGAGCGCTGGGACTTCTGGGTGAATTGAACACCCCATAAAACGATCCCAAAGACTCCATGCGGAACAAGAACGCTACGAACGGGGCGACCCTGGCATCGGCGACTCAAACGGAGCGATCGCACGCTACGAACGGGGCGAACCTGGCCTTACTACGAACGGAGCAAGGACGCTACTAGATACTTCATGCATCACATGTAACATGGTATTTATGCAATCATTGACCCCTGAAACCATCCCAATGTAGGCATATTATATTCCATACATGGAGCCCATACATGGACCTGTCTGGGAATAGCCACTGAAAATGGGGACGGGACGGCCGTCGACGATGCAGAGTATGGACAAACCAGGTCCGTGATCGATGTTTGTGACCAAACTTCTCAGGCAAATCAGTGACCTCAAACGGAATGTTTCGTTCGGGAACAATCAAACTGAAGAAGGAAAGGCATTGGCCGCAGCTGAAGAAAGAGCTGAATCTGAAAATGGCCGGGGGGGTCGTTAGTCATTTGCCAGCATGAATCTTCTCGGTAATTAACCTGTCTTGCTCCTTACATCATCGTAACTCCAAATTGTGCAATGTATTTCTTGGTGAAGTCTAAAGCATCAGCCCTTCTTGGCTTCCTCCACATCCAGAATCTACCAAATGGTCCGGGCTTAGAACCGATATCACTGTGGTCATGTCACCGTCCTCCAATGTCAGTGAAGCGAAACTCGCCATTCCAAAAAGTGCAATCAATTTCCCTGTTCACCTGTCTCTGGCGGTATAGAGTCAACTTGTTGCCAGAAAAGCACCCCTTTTAACCCAAAATATGCTCAACCACATCGTGTAAACAACCCAAATACCCGGCGCCAGCCAGTTTTTCGCCTGTGCCCGCCGGTGCCTCTGCGCCCCCCTTCCATTGAAAAATAAACAAGACAAACTACACTCACTGGAATAATCATGAAAGTGGATAGCATGGCCTTGATTTCAGGTACCATGAAACAATAAGTCAGACATGAAACGCGCAGCATGTGGTGGTTGCTCCACTTTCATGAGCCAGGGAGTGGGCGGGCCACAACCCATGCCAGGCCCCCCATGCATCCCAGGTGCGAAAGTTCTTCTCCACAGTGGCCCTCACTTCTCCTCCAAGTCGCCGGTCGATCCAGGCTTGCAACCTTTTGGTGGGACGACCAAAGGAGCGGACGAGATGGTGGGACGGATGGGAGAACACGGTCAAGAATGAACCGGCATGGGTTCCTATATGCCCTAAAATATGTCTCATATGGAAGCGGAAAAAAAAGACACCAGAATTTGGTTACACTCCCTGGAACTAACATGGAAGTGGAGAATGGCCCCTTGGAAGACCATTTTCCACTACAAACTGGTGGTTTTCCACTTCCATGTTAGTTCCAGGGAGAGTACATTGCATTTCATGGTCCGAAATCGGGGCCATGCCATCCACGTCCACTTTCGGGGAGTGCAACACACGTATACCGCCGTATACCTGTTCAATGTACTGGTGGGATACGCATGATAATCATGACACCATTCTCGAAATCAATACCTGCACAAGAACCCTCCGCAACAATCATGCTGAGTCAGAGTCAGTGTGTGAGGTGACATTCTGGCAGTTGGTGAGGTCATGATTCAACTCGGCATGTAAAAAAAAAGAACAGCACCCCGGTCAGTGTCCAATGTGTCACGCGAGCCGCGAGCCAATGAGACTTGCACATCTTGTACAACCCTTTCCGCATACAACAAACAAAAAGTAACAACAAATAAACCAAACAGTAACAACGTACACATGCGGAAAGGGTATTTTACAAACAAAAATGAGTTACAACACGTATGTTACAAACAAAAAGGTAACAACAAATCAACGTGTGCAGTTCCATGGAGTTTGGGTGCTATCCATGGAGGAAGTCGGAGTGCCCCGAACATCACATCCACATCCACTGACTAAACACCACCCCGGACATGTAAGTCCTGGAATAAACAGTACCTTTTTTCTCCATCAGTCGTTTACTCTCCATGCGTTCCTTTGCCACCCCCCCAGGTAGATCCTACAGGTATACCAGACCTTCGGAACTGCGGATTCCCGAGCAGTCCCATTGGCAGAAACAGCAGTCTGAAACAGGAGAAGGATCAGAATTAAAAAAAAAACATACTCCAAAACACGTCCAGTCCAGTAAAACCTGGTCTTTGACCTGCTGGAGTAGTGTTTCATTCATGACCAACTCCAGTATTTCATGAGGTCAGATCCTGGCCTTTTCGGGACTACTGCCCTACGCAGCAACAAGACCACTGGACCACTGGGCTCTTCAGGTGCGATCATCGGTCCAGGGGGCTGGTTCGGAAGCCGCCAAGCGAACCAACCGACAGATCATCCGAAGGAGAAGTCACCCAGTCTCGCGAAAAGAGAAATCACCCGAAACAAAACCGGACCTTTTGGTACAGCCTTTTGGTACAGTTTCCGGCCGGAAGGACCTGGAAGGTCCAATTAGTTTCATGTGAAGATGGGTTTTTGGATACGGTCAAGGGTGCACCATTGGACATGTATCACTCAGTATGATGTGTCGAACAACAACTGCAGGGGCTCTCTGGCTACCCCCGGCCACCCTCCCAACCACGGACATACGAATTTGACCTCATTCGTTGAGAAGTCCTCATCTTCCCACCAGGGCCACCCCAAATCAACAGCAAAGCTGTTGCTGCTTCGCCCGATGAAGTCGGGCACCATTCTTACATCCAAGGCGCGGGAAGCGGCCCCCTGGAAGCTTGAAATCCTGTGCCTTCGCCGCGACGCCGATCAAGGCCTGCAAACTCTTCAGAGCTACCCCAGCACGGAACTTAGAAGGGGACTCGGGCGCGGACTCGGGTCTATCTGCAAAAATTGCACAACCCAAGACGCGACCTTGGAGCGGCCTCAAATCAGGGTTTCGTGGGACCAATGGCAAAGCATGTGAACTCTACTGGGGAGTTGCAGCAGTTCCGACACTTTAAAGAACGGTATAGCATGGTATAGCAGCTATAGCACGCCTACAGAGTATAGTGCATCAGTACTCATGCGTGCAGTACCTCACTGACAATGGCTTTGATTTGTTCGTTTTCCCACACTGTGCCGTCTGCCTCCCGGAGCTGCGTCTCGAACGGTTGAAACCTCGTTGCACGGAAGGCATCGAGTCGTCGAGTCGGGCCGCATGCATGTATGTATGTATGTATGTATGTATGTATGTATGTATGTATGTATATGTGTATGTGTATGTGTATGTGTATATGTATGTGTGTATATGTGTATGTGTATGTGCATGTGTGTGTGTGTATGTGTGTGTATGTGTGTGTATATATATATATGTGTGTATGTATGTGTGTATGTGTGTATGTATGTATGTATTTATGTATGTATGTATGTATGTGTATGTGTGTATGTATGTATGTATGTATGTAAATGCGTATGTGTATGTGTAGGTGTATGTGTATGTGTGTACGTGTATGTGTGTACGTGTATGTGTATGTGTATATGTATGTGTGTATATGTGCATGTGCATGTGTGTGTATGTGTGTGTATGTGTAGATATGTGTATGTATGTGTGTGTATGTATGTATGTATGTGTGTGTATGTATGTATGTATGTACGTATGTATGTATGTATGTTTGTATGTATGTATGTATGTATATAAATGCGTATGTGTACGTGTATGTGTATGTGTGTACGTGTATGTGTATGTGTATGTGTATATGTATGTGTGTATATGTTTATGTGTATGTGCATGTGCATGTGTGTATGTGTGTGTATGTGTGTGTGTGTCTGTGTCTGTGTGTGTGTCACCCCCGGTGCCAAAGGGTTCACTGCCATCGTTACCGTCACCAACTTTTTCCAAAGCAGGGGGTCGCTGGGGATTCGTGCAGTCAGCGACCAACGAAGACGCTGCACGTTTCCTGTGATATGAGTCGAGGACGCTCGGCTCACGTACCTGCGACAGTTTTGAACTTTTGCCCACGCTGTTCCAATCTCCTTTGTTTGCTTCCATGGTGGTTCCACGATACCTCCCCCCAAACCAGTTTTCCACCGCTGCCTTCAGCCGCCGACGTTCAGCCGCGCTTCTGCAGACAAGAGAACAATTTGTTCAACATTTCAGTTTACGCTGACCCTGTCACCTTGCGTTTCCCTCATTCCTTTTGACTTGGGAACTGAGTTAACTGAATACAATTGTCAGAGTGTGTTTCGCTCAGCCGTCCCACTCGGGTGCTGAGTGTGATCCCCGTCATTGGGGCGCTGTCTCATCGTGCAAGCATTAACTGACCTCACCACTTTTCACAGGAATTCCACTGGAAGTCACCGCCACAACCACCGAATTAACTGCCACAACGGCCGCCGGGCCAAAAAAAACGGGATTACTTAGTCAGCCGCCGGGCTATAAAACGGTGCGGTGCTAAAACCCCCCAATGAGGCAGGTTTCCCAACCCCCCCCCCAGCTGAGTTCAACTCCCTACCTAATTAGGGCAACATAGGGAAATGGTACTCGACACACTTGTGTGTCGGTGCCTGTCCCTGTGTTGTTCCTTTTCTAGTCTTTCCTACCCGGGCGGTCTAAGACTAAAGTCCCGCTCCCTAGCTATTGCACGCAATTCATTTCTGCTAAGTAATCAGTAATTCTAGAGGGCTAAGTATTCATACACACACATGTACATACACTTCCCTGCCCCCCGCTTTCCTTCTTACGCTTTCGGTCGTTTTTTTGGGCTTTCTCTCAGGCTTTTTAGGTTGTTCTTGAGGCTCGTTTCCCTACCCCAGTCAAGGGCTAAGTATTCATTTTTCCTACACCTATCTTTCTTTCTTGCCCTCTTAGCGCTGCTCTTTCTGTCTTTCTTTTCTTTTGTTTCTAAGGCTTTTTAGGTGACTATTTAGGTTTTTCACATGCGCGCCGCGAAGCGGCACCGTGTGTGTGTCACCCCCTGTGCCAAAGGGTTCACTGCCATCGTTACCGTCACCAACTTTTTCCAAAGCAGGGGGTCGCTGGGGATTCGTGCAGTCAGCGACCAACGAAGACGCTGCACGTTTCCTGTGATATGAGTCGAGGACGCTCGACTCACGTACCTGCGACAGTTTTGAACTTTTGCCCACGCTGTTCCAATCTCCTTTGTTTGCTTCCATGGTGGTTCCACGATACCTCCCCCAAACCAGTTTTCCACCGCTGCCTTCAGCCGCCGACGTTCAGCCGCGCTTCTGCAGACAAGAGAACAATTTGTTCAACATTTCAGTTTACGCTGACCCTGTCACCTTGCGTTTCCCTCATTCCTTTTGACTTGGGAACTGAGTTAACTGAATACAATTGTCAGAGTGGTGTCTGTCTGTGTCTGTCTGTCTGTAAGTATGTATGCATGCATGCATGCATGTGTGTATGTATATAATATGTACTCTACTTTGACAGTACTTGGCCCTCAAAATAGTACCTTTTTCTGCTGACGCGCCATCTATTATGCAAACAACGCATAAATGCACATGTTTCCCGTACAGACTCCGATCGACTGAAAATTCATGAAAAAAGGAGGTGAGAGTAGATGGCGCATTTTTTACTAGACCTAATGGAATTTTAGCCTTGCATGGTGAAATAACCTACCAATTGAGCCATCTTCCAAACATGGGAGCATCCATGTCCAGCGAGCCGGGGGGCCATCTATATATAGAAAACATTGTGCCATGTACTCCCCGGATAGTGTATATGTATATGTATTTGTATGTATGCATGTCTATTTATGTATGTATGTATGTATGTATGCATGCATGCATGTATGTTTGCATGTATCCATGTATGCATGTACGTATGTATGCGTGTGTTTGAATGTATGTAAGCATGTAAGCATGCAAATATGTTTGGTGGTGATGGAAGGGGTGGTGAGGGCCTCATTGTTGTTGGTCAGGTTGATAGCGCACTTTAAAACCAGTGCCATGCATTCTGGCCATGGAGTATGTATGATGTATGTATGTATGTACCTGGACCCTGCAGTTTGTACAGTACCCTAGACAATGGGACTTCACCCGAACAAACAATAAATACTTGTACCCATCTTCTGAGGTGCTTGGAGGTTCTAGGTGTGTATGTATATATATATTATACACTGAAAATAACTTTTTAGATAACAATAAATATGTAGTCGTGAGACGTGGTTTAACCTTTACATACCTTTATCCTGAATGCTGAGAATTCTGGTATATTCTGGTTAGTTAAATGTTCAGGAGTTACTTTATCTTATGGAGCTGATGTTGTTCCTTAGACCTTGAGATCAACTCCACAGGAACAACTATGAATAGAGGTGGCAAACTGAGAGTCTTACTCCTTGAACAGCCGACAAAAACCATGAACCACTTGAACAGCCGACTAACCCTTGAGAACTTCTCCACATGAAGGTGCTGCAGGGTGGAGGCCCTTTCTTTGGATGTTCGGATCCCTTTCTCGCACGGATCGCTGGATGTACGCTTTGCCCACCGACTCCCTTGGGGTGCTAAAGGGGTGGAACCGGACAGACTGTCAGGGACAGTTGCAACCCACCAGACCCCACCAGACCGGTAAGGCCGCTTTCATGTGTTTCTGACGATGCGCTGTCGAGAGGATCATCCTGCAAAATCCTGCTATGTAGACCTATGACAACAATGACATTCTTCGAAATTCTTCGAATACAAGGAAACAAATACACTAAAGCATCCTACCCACCCCTGCAAAGACCTAAGGCCTCCGCTCATCTGGCGGAAGTTGCCGGAACCAGGCTTCAACATTCATGGTGATAGCGCTGCGGTGATTGCTATGGAGGAGTCAGTATGTCAAGAAAGTGTCACTGGCTGCAATGATAACCCGATCATGATCCGATGCTCTTGCAAACTGCAAAATCATTACATGACAAAAACATATTTCGGATCTTCTCATACCATGAACCATGTTGGGCCGCTTCTGATCCGCGGTCGGCGTCGCCGGGCCGACCGCTCCCTCTATTGAGCCAACATGAGCCAACAAAGCTCCAACCAGTGGCCTGTTACCCATGGTATCCCATGGTCCATCCCTCAAACGTGGACAAAAACACAACATGCACAAATACCCTGGCATTTGCCGCGGTCCGTTGGGTGATTCTCGAAATGACCGTGAAATGGCCACGACATGGCCGTGATCACGTCGTGACATGATTTGTTTTGGGCGCCCCGAATGATGTTTCTAAAGCGTCTCATGCCTCTCATGCGTCTCATGTGCCAAGACGTTTTCCCGCTGTCACCTGGCTGGCAGCCACGTTTTCACATGGGCAGGGTAGGGAAGTCATGACTTCCGAACGCACACCATGCAGCGAAGCAGTGACTTCAGGTTCAGTCCTCAGCCTCCCAGTAAAGCTCACGCATCATGAAGTAAAGAAAGCAACAAATCCAGCCCAGTGATGTCCAGTGAGGCGGCCAAAGGGCATCTGCTCAGGTGCTATGACCCGCTGGTGAGGCCAGCACATGTGGAAGACGAACTCGAGACTGGAACACACCCCATTCCGCCCTGGATGGACCTGCAAATCGCTCTCTTGCGCCCCGGAACGAGCAAGTGCTACTCTTTTAAAGCAAAGGCACCAACTGTTGCCGCATTGCCATCCGACTTCGCTGCCCTGATTTGCTTGATCGCCCGCTGGTCGACCCCTCATCTTCGCTCACTTGTACTCGCCGAAGGTCGAGCGGCTTGGACTGATGAACACCCGCCTTCAACCTCCGCCCTCCCAGTGGTAGCGCTGCTCCCGTTGCATGCGCCGTCGCACCTGGAACCAACCCGTTTCATTCGCCGACTGAAAGACCTCCTGGGCTGCGACGGCACACAAAACCGAAAGGACACGGAGCGACGCACCCAGAAAGGTTTGTAATTTTTAGGGTAACAACATATTTACCCAAAGAGTTTCAAAGGTGTTTTTTGCTTTTTAGGATCCCAAATGAGTGGATAATGAAAATGCCTACTACCCTCCATAAGCATAAATTAATAAAAAACACCCCTGTTGGAACATCCTTTCATATCCTTTCTGTAGGCATCTGTAGGCGTTCAACGCGTTTTGAATTGAACATAGGGAACTTCGACAAACTCCCACGGTTGCTGAACGAACATCTCGAACGAAAGTGTCAAGATTTGCCAAACTCTACAAATCCACATCTCTTCCCAACAAGGAAAATGTCACCTCCAGTTATAAATTATAAAGGTCTCCGGTCTCCACACACCATCACACAGCCATCCCAGAGATTTCGGTCTGTGGATCCAGGAAAGAGACTTCGGGTGAATGCACTAACCGTCTCCCAAGACTCAGGTCATCCACCGAGATGGTTCGATCGAGGGAGACGGTCGAGAGGTCCTTCCAAAACGGAGACCGAATGGATGTGACAAAATCACTCACCGGGGATAGTCTCACATAATATACAGTAGATGTTCTTCCTGGTCATGGTTTTCACCCCCCCCAGGACCATATTTAGTGGATGTCCTTATACATGTTCCCTTAACACCACTTCTGGGATGCCAGCGGCGGTGTCCGTGTCCGTGGGGCTTCAGCAAGCCAGCGAAATAGGGAAGGCAGTTCATTGAACTCTTAAACCGGGTCAGAAATACTGGGAGTTGGTCACAATCATCTAGACTACTCGAGATGCGGTTTTTTCAGGACCAGGTAGAAGACTGGACCTGGACCTGGGAGTTGAGTACTGGAAGTTGAAAGAGTCAAGATTGGCACTACGATCCTCAAAAGTACTCTAGAAAATAGAACATGTGACATGACCCTTGTAAAAACAGGTACAGCACTTGTACTCATTCTGCTGTACACTGGAACCAATAGTTCTTATACTCCCTGCAATCCTTGAAGTGGATGTCACCCAACTTGTTGAGGAGAACCATGGCGAACCTATAGGTTTACCTTGGAAGCTGCTGTTCTGTTGTTTGATGTGGGTGTGTAGCTCAAATAGGGAGACCCCCAAGGCGTTCCGACATCCAAGGTTCGGAAAATAGCCGGCCCAGCCAGGGCCAGGGAACCTCTCTATTAAAAATAGACACACATCCCTGAGAACGTTTGGCCGCCTTCTTTTTTGCTGAGAATCTGCCATCATCGCATCCAAGTCTCTGCCGCCTGAAAGCAAAGCACGGAGAGGGGATATGACTCAAGAAACTTCATAGCCTACAACTGCAGTCTGCCCCAGTAGAACTAGCCCGGTCCTGAAAACCTCCTTTGGTGTTTAATGACCAACTCCTGTAACATGAGGACATTGACCTGTAGGGATAGCAAACATACAGTATCCCAAAATCGACATGTTAACATTTAAAACCGAAGTGTCTAAAAGCACCTTCATGGCCACAAAAGCGCATGTGTCTGTGTCATTGTGTTTCGCGCGTAACGGGTTCTGCCCAATGAATGAATTCTTTTGGTGGCTGTATACTCTCACCCGATGCAAACCTTGCCTGAGATCAGGAGATGTGTGCTTGGCTTCTGAAGCAAATTCCAAAGCTCCTCGCCGTCCTTGAGCAGCTGATTCCGTAGCTCCACCAGATCATCGACGGACGAATATCGGAAGTTCTTGGGGTAGGAGGACTCGTATGCATTCATCCTTGGGGAGAACAATCCGGCCGTGCATAAACGCAGAACTCTTGGCTTAAATCCTCTCACAATCCGCCCTCATCTAAATCCCCATCTAAGCAAAAGTTCTGACGGAAAAAACGACGTACTACACACACGAGCATGTTGATTAGTTGAAGCTTTACCACCGTGTTATTCTGTTGTGATTATATATTGCTCGAACAAATGCTGCGCAGTTGGCAAGTGTTTTAAGAAAATTACTATGCGCTTGAAATTAGACTCGAACTCTCGGGGAAAGTAAATCTCTCAGACTCTGCTTTTGGCAAGAAATAAACAAAAAGTACAATGACATATATAGCTGGATACATAGCTCATAGTGAGTGGACACAGGATTCAGAAATGTAGTTTAGACTCTAGGTTTTTGCAAGGGAAGGGGTAAACAAAAAATATAGACTAAAACCATCTAAAACCCCCCCAAATCTTATCACACTGATCAGTCGTAGCTCAAAGATTTGGCAGACATGTTTAAGGCCATCAGCATCCCAACAAACTTGCTGGCAGCCCACAAAATGATCAGAGCTCACCTGATCATGCTGCAGCAATCTGAAGGCTATCATCAAACGTTTTCTGCTGAGAAAGTCGGATGTGGAACTCAGGTGCTGAACTGGCACCAGTACCGTACTGGTTTTGGCTGACTCCCAAGCAGAAGCTCCCTGGAAAAATAGAGCACCGAACTTTCCACCTATCCAAAAAAGGCTTTTCGATGGTCTATGATGGTCTATGCTTTTCTGGTTATCGGCTTCCCGGGTAGGGTCTTCCTTGGACTTCAGTGAGATGAGATGTGCTTCTCGTGGCATTGCAGTCAGGCTCCAAGAATCATGGACCTGCAGCAGTCCGGATGTAAACTGAAAGTTTGTAAGCTAATGTTTTCTTTGGACGGCAGTTTGCTTTATTAAGTCCTAGGCCTGGGGCAGAGTGCATGGATCGGTTCTTTCAGAACTAATATCCGAAACATGTTCAGTTCATCCAGGTGTCTCATCCTCATACATCTCATGCCCTGCGAAAACGACCCGTATCGCTCCATCGAAGCTGCCTTGCTCCTTCCGATCGTGGAGGAGCCGACGAAGATGCGCGCGAACGGGTGCCAGGCCGAGGTCGCGAGCAACGAAGATCAAGGTGCCCACGAAGATCTTCGGGTAGGAGAAGCTCTCTCCCCATGGGGCCTACCAGATTGCTCAAACCGCGTCAATGGGAGTACCAAGCATCCAAAGTCATCCAAAGTACAGCATTCCCTAATTCCATGGCTCTTTGGTTCCAGAGAAAAACCACATCAAGGAGAGAAAGACCAGGGAGATCCAAGAATTGCGGACATCGAAATCATCGAAGCATGATGGTGCCTCTTCGAAACAGAACGGGTGCTCCCCAAGGTTTTGAGCTAGTGTGTGCTCCTGCACAAACACATGCAAACTATTTAAGAAGCTTGGAGAGAGCACAATTCAGTGTTCTCGTTCCGCACACCCGCTCTCTTTCTACCGGTGGTTAAACACCCCTAGACCGGTCGAAAACTCGTCGCCTGTGATGGTGACCTTGTCACCGAGCTTTAATGAGCAAAGGTAGTTGGAACATGAAGCTTGATACCTTGGATTGGCTTCTTCGGAATCCAGAAAAACGTTTTGTTTTGAAACAAAAGACAAATAAAACGTTTGGAACAAAAGTCACACCTCTTCCCAGGCTACTAACCCATTGATTCACCCCGGAACCGGGAAAATAACTGGAAAGATATGACATCACCCGAAAACCGCCCAAACACCAGGACACTCGTCCTCTCGAGTCATCACTCCATCCGCGCTTCGCTTCGCGGCCAGCACTCGCTTCACGCACAGGGAGAAGGTCTTGGACCTCTGGTCATCACCAGCTCCTTGGATTTCGCTTCAGGCAATGTATAGGAAGCAATTCAGAAAACCCCCTTAGCAAAGGATGTATCGACATAAACATCTTCCCCAGTGGTGTGAAAAAGGACCATTTGTACATTCACCATCGTTCTCCAAGGCTCGAGATGAGGCGATCGGGTACAAGCGCACCAGGGCCAAGGCGGCGTTCGGCGAGGCGGTGACCGTCGGAAGGACGCCAATCGACTGACCCTCCAGAAACTTCACCTCCAAGTGTCAAATGGATCTGTGAAAATACGAAAACGATGCCTGGTTGACTGGCACGTCTTATTTTAAAATGAATCTCATTATAGGAATGGAAGGGCCATACCTTTTGACCCCAGAGACCCTGGAAGACCTGAAAAACCGCTTGGCTGTGAACACTTGCAGATTGTTCTATGACGTGCTTGGCTGTGGACGCTCAAGTTACGTGCTTTGCAAATTCACAATGTCACAACTGGCTGATTGGACGCAGTGAGTTTGTGCTACGATCGAAGCACAGGAAACACACATTAAAATAAACATTTGATTAACATAACTAGACTGGATATAAATAGAATAATGACTGGAGAGGCGAGTGTGACATAGTTACGTATAGTTATTAAACATCTGATTTTACAATCATCTATTGGCAAAATCACATGCAGAACATGCTTCCCACGGCAACATGAGGAAACCAGCTCCACAGCTCCATCGATCGCCCAAGCGACCTTTCCATGATGGCTCAGCGTGAGATGATGGATCTCGAAATCTCCAGTGCTCATAAGCATCTGAGGATGCTGATGGTTTGGAACCAAGGTCGCTCGAAATGGCACCTGGCCGGCACATGGCACCGCCGAGAACAGGTGGGGAGTGTGGCCTCAGAATAAGTGTCAAGATGTGCACACGTCTCGTCTCGCGAGCTGTATACACACAAACAAGTTGAAACAGCTTTCAGTTCATCTAGAATCTATATATATATAATATATATTAGCCTGCTGTTGAAATAAACTCTGCTCGCCCGAGCCAAGGCGTGGGGCTGCATTATGCACTCCTTGTTGCCACACACTGAGAAGTTTTTTTTCCCACGTCCATTTCGACTTCCGGTCAAGGTAAGTCACTGCCGCATGGTATTCAATAGGATTCAAAAGGAGATCTCAACATCAACGGAGATTTGCTTCAAACCTCTGTCGCTGGAGTTTCCACCCCCGGAGGGAACATCAAGGGAACAGTTCGCACCAGTTCTAGGAATCTCATCCTTCACTCTTCAACAACCCCAGAGTTCTTGCGGCCGAAGGTGTGTGGAGGTGTGCTGCGAACATGTCATTGTGCGCCCATGTCCACGACCTGGGACTCAGGACTGAAATACGGTACATGCCGACCCGGTCGCACCTCTTTTCAGCCAATTCGGATGGAATTTTCAGGGGTATGTAGGCATATATATATATATATATATTAATTATATATATAGCTTTGGGGTACGAACTCACAAGCTCCTCTGATTCCTCAAAAAAAAGCTGTTGTACTCTCATTCTCCATCCCTCTTTTCGGGATCAACCGATTGGGCAAAGACCTGTGGCACGTGACCTCGAGAAAGCCGCAGGCCGATGGTGGCGGAGTTTCTGGATGGCCGGATGGCCGGCGCTCAATCCCTCAGAGTACACCTTTGCACATGTTTTTGTTGGTGAATGAACCTTCAAAGTGACCGTCTTGGAGATCCTGGAACGAGGTCACTTAAGTCCCTAAAGAGGTCACAAAGAGAGACTCTTACAGAGATCACACAGCAGTCACAAAGGAAAGGGGTGCCCATTGGAGGATAGGGGTGCCCAGAACATCCACTCACTTAAAGTGACTCAAAACACCCCGTCTTGTGACTCCACTCGTGATACTATTTTGTAGGGAATCTTCTCTACATCTCGCCGCCGGTCGACGGACCGGTGCGGGGAGTTGCACTAAGAAGACGCGAGAGGAGGTGCCTTTGGACTGAAGAGATTCCAAGGGATCTTTCGTCCAGCATGCATTCGCCAACCATTCTCAGTGTGTGTCTTCCTTGGTTAAAAAGAGAAACGACGAATCCACAAGCTGGGTTTTTGATGGTTTTTGCATTGCAGATTCTGAGTAGAAAAGCTGTTCGCTACGGCTGTCCAGGTGCACGCAATGTTTCAGTGTAAGATATATATATACCCTAATAGGAATCCACTGCCACCTTCTCAGGTGGTACGACTGGACCCTCCTGGACGGCGCCCACACAAAGTCACTCCAAGCACACCCTCAGTCAGGTGTGGAGATGTGGTTTTTATGTATTCTCTTTAAGGGTTCCCTCGGGTTCCCTTTCATTCCTAATTAGGGTGTCAACGAGCCAGTCTGAAAGACAACAAAGCCTGGCTGAGGGTTGAAAAAACGAGTCCGGAAAAAAAACGATGCCTACGAAGAACTCGTCGTGTTCGTGAGCGAAAACCGTCTGCTTCGACGAGTCAAAAACCGACGAGTCGCTCCTCCACTGCAGTGAATGACACTGGAGGAGCTCCTCCAACTTAGTGGGCCAAACAGTTGGCCTCTCAGTTGGAATGGCAGTCTTCCTTGCCACTGAATGGCCAATGTTCCAGTTCCGTCCACCGTGCGCCGTGACCGAACCACCGTCCAGTCGGCGCCGTCGCGTCCTGTCGACTTCGGTCTTCTTCACCACGGGTTCGTGACCGAAGGACGGCAGGGAATCAAGCGACTGGTCACGAACTGAAGAACCAGGTACAAGATGGTACACTTCCTGGAACTAACATGGAAGTGGACAGTGGCCCCTTGGAAGACTATTGTCCTCTAACAAGAGGGGGTTGTCCATTTCCATGATTGTTGCAAGCAGGGAGGGTACATGGAACACATCACTTCAGCGATCCACTCTTGTCCTTCCAGAATCCACAGCCTGAAATGGAATGGAACATGCCCATCCAGAATACCTAAGAATCCTTGAACCCTCCATAGCAGGTGTTGTAACAAAAATACCAATGACTTGCTGGTCGAGAGAATAGTCTTCAATGATGCAATGGGGTCGATTCCGTCTTCCCTGAGTATGGTATTCAAGGGTTGACTTATGGTGAGAAGGACATGCGATATTAAACATAACATGACCAGCATGAAATATTCGGACAGTGCAGCCGTGATTCTCATCTTTCGCAGTCAGGAGGATCATGAAAAGAAGCAACTTCACCAAATGCAGCCTGCTCTTCTTCCCCCATGTCTCCATCTCAAGCAGCTCGTGAGACTAAGTCGGGTATTCCTGCATCTGACTTGAGTCATCTTGAGCCACCATACAATATATAATGGAATATAATGTAATATAATATAATAGAATATAAAACAATACAATATATATATATATTCCAATGTATTAATGATGTATTAAGTAGTCTTCCAGAAGATATGAAACCACCTGCAATGGGAAAATCCGATCACTGAGACGGCGTTTATGTTCTTGGAGTGCAGGACATGCTGTCAAACGGCACACATGAGAATTATCTTGATATAGTGGTCGAAGCGGCATATCTTTCTTTACAGAAGCTGAACGTCAGGCAATGGAATTGCCCCATAATATGGCAGTGGGTCAAAACCTGGAGAACCTGAATGATCCCGCAAAATGAACCAAACGACTACTGTAGATACTTCACATTGTGAAGCAAAACACCTTGATTTGAGGTGATTTGGCCCTTGACATGTCTTGACCCACACCCAATATCTTCTCTTGACCGTAGACTGCACTTTGGCATTCTCAGTCACCAAAAGCCCAGTCCTTCCAGCGCACCTCGGTCGGACCAACGCTGGCGAGATCGTTCGACGCACCGAGTGGCTCACATCAATCAAGTGCTTCAGGGCAACTCTGAGCGGCTGGGTCCAGGAAATCATATCCATCCCCAAACACTCCAATGACCCCCTGGAAGAACATGTCCGCATTAAAATTCACACCCATATGGGGACGGGATGTGTCAAAACTTGGAGCTAGACCAGGTGACACTCCCCGGTGCCATGACCCACTGCCACACCAAGCTGCCTCACTTGACAATGCGGGACAGAGCTGTCTGATCCAAGGAAATTCATCCTGTTGACTGTCTGATGTTCCTGATGTGACTGATATGGTATCTTCCAAACGCCATGGACTCTGCAAAGTTTGACCCCTATAGGACTACTTTGGAATACAAACAAGGTCCCATGTACTGCATGACGCTATATGACCCTATACATGACCCTATTCTACATGATCCTATATGACCCTATACATTGCATAGCTCCTTTTTCATGCCCCTAAATAACCCTCCAGACGGAGGAGGGTGCCTGCTTAAAGGATTAACCCCCCAAAAAATCAAACACAGCACAAGTCGTTGGGTACATGTCCTCCAGCACTCAAACACAGCTCGAGCATCCGGACTGACGCGCTTTTCAAAGGACATCTGAGGAACTGGAAGATCGTGAAGAGCCTGCCATGTTCCAAGGCTGCTTCGCCGCGAACTCGTGATGATCAGCAAAAAGTAATCCCAGACGCCGTCTAGCCTGACACACTCACCATTGAATTTAATAGTCTTTACTCTTTACCGAACAACCGTTTTACTAAGGATTCTACAAAACCGGGGTGAACAATTCTTTTTGGAACTAGTGGAGACGTTCTTGACACTCAAAAAGGGAGGAGTCTGGCGTGTTTCATGCAGCCAATCACCGTTTTTCGGGTCGCCTGTGGACTCCGACTCGCTGGAGAAGTCGTCGGAGATCTTCCTTGCCCTGACTGTTGGAGATGGTTCTGAAGGTGGTGGGAGATGGTGGGAGGGTTTCAAGGGGTTTCAAGAGATTTCTCCATCTTTCACCTGCCTGAAAAGTGTTGTCTTCATGGTGAAATGAACATCTATAGTGTTTTTTTTCCTTTGGGATATGATTCATTTTGCATATTGTGCACTGGTCAAAAGAGACAGTAGAGAACCACCCTGAACGTGGTAGCCTCAGAGTTCATCCCCGGCCGAGGAGTCCATGAAATCTGAGACCTTCGATCTCAGATTCCTGGCAGCCCAGTCATGGCTAGGACGAGTTCGTACGGAGGTTCTCCCTATTAGCCGTTCTGGGATGTTCTGGGTGTCGCATGGGACCATGACAGACGGGTGATAGGACACATACAAAAAACCACCCAGGTCACCAAGTTCCCATCGTGAGACTCTATGGTCTGATATGGTCTGATCCTCAGAGATGGTCTGACTTAGTCATGGGTGGAGGGATGGCCTGACGATGTCCAAGCACGTCTTTTTTGTCAGCCCTGGTCCGCCCGAACGAGTCCAAGTTCCATTCAAAAGCGACAACGATTCAACGAGACAACTGGTCAACTTCTCCCATGACACCCGTTTTCTCTCAAACAAGCATAGTGGTCATTGCAGTTCCAGTGGTCCAAGAAGATCACATGCTGCATTTCCCCGTAGTTCGTACTAATTTAATACTTGAACGTTTGCCGTCCAGGAATCGTGAAAGAAATAACACAAATCCCCCACAAAACGATTAAGCCTTGGGGAAATCAAGATCACCCTTTAAAAACAAACAACAAGCCTAATACAGTTGTGGTTTCCAGAAAAGTTGCCAAAAATCTGGGAGATTCTGTCGGTGTTCTTCAAGCCTCGCCACAAAGCTGCACCACAAATTCACTGCGTGGCCTATTGGAGTTGTTCCCGAGGCAGGGGCAAAGCCTCGGGAACAAGATAGGTGAAACCGGACTGGACGATCCGGTGCAGACCTCACGACTGAGCTCTCCAGAGGCTGGGCACCATGAAGTCGCAAAGTGGGTCCCACGGTAAATAGCTTGGGGAACCGATTCCAACCGCAACCACCGTCCCATCAATGACCTTCCCGATGCCTAGGCCTAGTGCTAACGGAAGATACTCTGGGTGGGCGATTTGGCAGGTGTTGCTGTGAGAAGGAGACATGCAGGTCCGTCCCACCTCAGGAGTGGGTTGGCTGTCAACGGTGGATCAAAGTCATCCAGTTAGCGACCGCTTGGTCCGCCCCACGGAAATAACCGCCTAAAGAATCAACTTCTGGCCGTGAGCACAACCCTCTCCCAGCTGGGGCAAATTCTTGGCACTAACCACCTTCCCTCCCTCCCTATTTGATGAACCCCTTTAATTGCGTCAATCCCTCATCCCATGATCCTATTGTTCATCAAACACGTATTGTCAAACACGTCTGTTTGATGCTGGCTCATTGTTGGCTCATGGCTTTGGCATTGTCCATTCAGTGAAACTCATTATGGGCCAAATTGGTGGGTGTGTGTATTATGTGTGGCATTTGCTGCACACATGCACCTCGCAAGCTTGTGGATCATCTTGTCCATGGCATGGTAAAAGCACTCTGCAATATGCACTTTCTTCATTGCAAATGTCTCATTGGTCCCAGGCACCTGCCTCATGCCATTCTTCATAAACTGGTCCCTGACATAAGTAGGACTTAAACCTATGACTACCTATCTGTATCAGTCAACTGCATGGCTGCAGTCTAACCCTCGCAGATCCCCTAGATCGCCGAGAATCCCACAAGCACTCCTGGCAAATCAGACATAAATTGCGTTATAAAACCCTACCCTACCCAACAAACTACTTTTTCAAACTCTCACAGGGCATCCCGCATAATCCCTCTATATACTCCTAACTAACCACTTTCAAACAAATAAATAAACATCATGAAGGAAGAGATGTTGTCTTTGGGATCCTTTCTCATGAAAAGATTTAGTCGCTGACCTCTCCGAATTGACCCACCCCAATTTAAGAAAGATCCCGACCTTCTGGTACAGGGTACATACCCAATAACACGCTCACGGACCCAAAAGCAGTCTATCGTTATCACTTTTGGGGGTGGCAGGTAGGGACATCAAACACACAGTGCTTCTTCAAGTGGCATGTGCTTCAACACGAAGGCAAGCCCTTTTCGGCCTCTCCTGTTGCTATCGGAATCGTCCAGGTGAAGAGCAGGAACGGAGTTCAATACATCTTTCATGGTGATGCGTTCGATCTACTTTGCAGCAATTATATTATCCCATTTGACCTCTCTGTTGATAGGAAAACACATGCGTCGGGTGGTTGGTGATTCCAAATAGAGGTCACTCAGCTTCTATGGTGCTTCAACCAACACAGGTCAGTCTCAAACTTTGTGAAGATCTGGGGACTGGATGTGATGGTTCCACAAAACCTTTGCCTGCTTGCTTCTCACACTGGGTCCCTGCTTCATGAAGCCACCTCGGGGCCAATGACGGCACACAAGCGCTTGGCGCCACGAAATAGGTAAGCAAGTGACCCCATATCATTGAGGCTCATAATACTTGGCACCGTTGCTTTTTTTTTAACATCTTTTCTGGAGCAAAACAACATGTCGGCTAGTAGCAGTGGTAGCAGTCCTCTTGGTGGCCAAGGAGTACTGGTAAAAAAAGCCCAGTGGTCGTGGCCAGGGCGAGCAGCACCACCTCCACCGAGCAAATGATACCTGGAGAGAATCTGATCATGGGTCAACCATCCTACTGCAGTGTTCCGATCCCACAGCGGTTTTCACAGGAATTGGCTGTAGCTCCAACATGGACACCCAAAGCTTGTGCCGATGGTGACCGTCATGCCACATGCGCGACACGCGGTGACTTCAGCCAGCCACACCGACATGAACCGGCTCCAGCCCCCGCTCCAGTCGATCCGAACCCGGGGGGACTCCCCTCCGGTCCGGTGCGGACCCGGGGGGGCACTGCTCCACATATTGGATTGGAGGGTCTCCTGGACAATCCGTGGCCTCAACTCGCGGATCGACTGCGGATCGGCGTTGCGCCCCAAAATGGGTGAGCGTTGGTGAATGGTGGCTGCTACACTCCCTGGAATGGAAGTGGAGAACCACCGGTCTGTATAGAGGAAAATGATCGGGGGGCCATACCATCCACTTCCATTATATATTTCCAGGGAGTGTAGACTGTAGACCCTATACCACTGCCACCGTACCTCAGGTTCGACACGACCCGACCCTGGCGCCTCACGCCTCACCCGTCGCTGAACACATCACCCTCTCAGAAGGTGGCAGTGGATCCATAGAGAGAGTCCAACAGACTGTAACTTCCAATCCCTTGAGCTGGAGAAGGGAAGTAGGATCCAATGGCTAGAGACCCTGCTAGAAGTAACCCACGTACCACTGACTGGTGCGAGTGCTATTTAACACCAGATTCTGTAGGATCCATTCATATCCAGCCACCTTCATTTCGAACCAGTCGATCCAGTCGGACCATTAAACATGGTCAGAAAGCCATCCTAAAGGACCGTGAGATTCGGGGGGGAAGCTGTGCATACTGAGGTGGACATACAAGCTGGAAAACAGGCATTAGTCAAGGACATGAACCATTCAGTTGTAACAGCAGCAACTCTACGCACCCACAACACACTCTTTATATAGTATATATCCCAAACATTCCCAAACATGTATGGAATAGTTACATGCATTTATATACCCATGTATGATCCCAATGTAGGTAACTATTCCATACACGGATGGTCTGGGTGTAACTATACCCTAAGCACCAAAACCCTATAAATTTGTAGGGTCGATGGAAAAACCTAGGGTTTCTCCGTTTCTGAAGCAAACCCAATCATTTCCAAACCAGTATTAAAATACGGGTTTAGTACGGTTATGTACAAGTTAAACATGGGTTTTGTACGGGTTAACGATCAACTACGATGGTGTTTTCGGCCATTCCTGCTACATCTTCATCAAAACATTTCCACGACGGTTTTGATCTTCAGACCCCGCAAAACTGCACACGGTTTGACCAAAGATCTGGAAAAGAACAGCGAACCCACCACACCGCCGTGTCTGACTCCCGAAGCTGTTTCCATGAAAAATGAAGGCAACCGTTTTCAATCAGTTCTTAGTTCTTAGTTGTTTAATGGGTGGGGAAACCAATCCCCAAAATTGGCTAAAGGCTGTCCATTGAACTGTCCACTGACTGGGTAGATCCGTAGATCGCCAAAACTCTGCCTCTAAAGCTCAGGTGTCACGATTCCGAAGCCTGAGCTTCAACCGACGCCTTTGGGCTTTATGCCACTGGTCCTCAGGTGTCACCAGGTTTCACCGCCCCTCGGGCCGACCCGGGTCGACGCCGCAGGGTCGCCCCGCCGGCCCTTCTTCCAGCACGAGGTTTGTCGCCTCTTGTCGCTGCTCACCTCGTGGGTCGAGGGACAAACCAAACAGATCGAGCTAGGAGTCATAGTCATTCGAGGTCATTTGTTTGTCAAATTGAACTAATATATGTGTAGGACTAAAATTGAAGGAAATTGAAAGAATATGTGTAGGACTACATGTAGAAGACACGTTCAGTTGAGTCACCATCAAGACACCATCCGTCTCCAACAAGTGAACTGATGAAGAATAATCCTCAATCCATTCAGCTCAACAGGGATCCTCAAAACTGCCCAGTTTCTTGAACTGCTCTGTATAACATCGCCATCCCCTAGGGCTCCAACCAGCGGTTTTCACATACTGATAGTGGTTTTCTGAAGGTTCGTCAGGTCCTTATCATGACATGTCTTTACAATATCTTATATATCTACATATCTACCTATCTATACTGATCTAGCTAGCTAGCTATCTATGGAATCTATCTTTCTTGATCTTTCTTGTGTCCCTGCTTCAAGAAGCCTCCGCTTCAGGTGCCGACCTTTTCTTGAGACGTGTCCAGGACGTGTCCAGTCACTGAGTGTTCTGCCAGCACCAAGGGTTGGTACCTTGACCAATCGAGAGCCGGGGGATGGTGGGTCGAACTCTCAAGGAGGCCCCTGGCACAAAGGCGCGCTTAGCTTCCGGCGAAGGTCGAAGAACCCAAGTTCGACTATACCAGTTGGGTACCCCAGGTTACGGATCCTTTTTCAGGTCACGGTCACTTAGCCTCTCTTAAATTTGCGTCAAGAATCGTGCTGCATGCATGATCCACTCATGTCTCTCATGTGTAAAAACATGTTGTGAAAACTCCGTCTTCGTGACGACTGTGACTGCACATGGAATCTGGATGCCCCCAGCTGCGACCCTCCTGCTACTTCCCTCGTAAGCTAGTTAGCCGCTTTAGCCCATTCCTGTTTTTCATGCATTCGTGCATAAAGGTGGCGTCAAAACGGCGCTGATGAATGAGCTGGACTTTGTAGTCGTTTATCACTTATATTGTAATGACCATTTAACTATTTTGTTGTTTAAGTTGATATACTTCGATAACCCTGTATAGAAGATGTTTTCCCTGGGTCAAACCTTTGGTGAAAGTGCTATCTGAATGCTATCCATTCAAAGTTCCTACCGGCATTCAAAAATATGTTTTCTCTCCAAAAAAACATGTCCGCAATCGTTCACCGGTGCAAGTCACGCATTTTGTCGCGTCTTTTTCTTCACCAGTTCAATCTGGTGCTCAGAACTTTCTTTGTTCCACGCTCATTGGGTGCCTTTGATCAAATATGTCGCACCAAGCACGAACACATTCATGAAGACCTCAGTCGTTGTGAAAAATACTAACACTGGCCCCAAAGCAGTTTCCACCACAACAAATGCACAACGTTGGGGTTCTGAAGACAACATCATGAACTGGATTCCCAACTAGACATGTTCAGTACTATGTTCAGTACATTGAACTAAATGTGTGGCAAACTATACCCAAACAATCGCATCACTGGGTGGGTCCTGGCAGCAACTTGCCCCTAACGGACGACCACCGCGTAGGCCGTTCACAGGCCGTTTGGGCCCAGCAACGCCCACGGTTAGCATGACGATCACGTAGCCGTGGTAGGCGTAGTGTGAGACGAAGGAATTCCTGGGTTCAAGCACTGGACGTGACCTCTCCTAGAATTGGTGGTTTTGGGTGGTGACTGTAGGCAATATTTGCAGTCTCAGACAGATCGCGTTTGGGCAGCACAAAGAAACAGTGACGCTCTTGGTGACGCTGCTAACGCTCCCTTCCCCCTATGGTGAAACATGTGTTTTAGGTGTCATGCTCCTCGTGGCACATGAGATCCGGCGAAAGGAAAAAGCCGAAAAACTGAGCAACAACGGTCCCGCTCCCGCTCCCGCTCCCGCTCCCGTTCAACAACAACAACAACAACAACAATAACAACAAGGTACAAACAAAAACTGCAGCCCCGTTACAACATATCTTCTTCCTTTGTCTCTACAAGGGGGTGGAAACAACAACTGCAGCCCCGTTGTTGTTCTTTGACCCCAAAAAAAGCAACAAGCCAACAAGTACAGTTCCACTACTGGTATAGTGTTTGTACTAGTGCTAATACAGGTGGTACTAGTACTATAGTAGTAGCACTGGTAGTAGCAGTAGTAGTAGTAGTAGTAGTAGTAGCAGTAGCCGTCGTAGAGTAGTAATTTGCATTATGATTATTAGTAGCAGTAGTAGTATTATCCGGTCAGCTAAACCTCTGTATAACTTCTACTTAGAAACTCTACCACATCCTAGAAACAAAAACCGCAGCCCCGCTGTTGTATTTTGGACTCCCCCTCACGAAAGGTGTTGTTGTCTCTACCCCTTCTCGAAACGAAGACTGCAGCCCCATGTTGTATTTTGGACCCCTCCCTCCAGAACAACACTTCAAAAACACTAAAAATGGACCAGCCCACATTTCAGTAAAGCAAGGCCAACAAGTCCACCTACTTAAGCCAACATTCGCACAAACCTTCAACCGTATCCCTAACCTTGTCCCCTTGAAGTTCCAAAGTTACAACATGTGACAATTATGTTGGGCGGTGGTTTTTGTTTCTACCAACAACAACGACAACAACAACAACAATAAACAAAAAACCACCACCACCAACAACAACAACAACAATAACGTGCAAAAGAAAGCAAGCTCAACCAAGTGAGTTCCCCGAAACAAAAAAAGAGTACCAATTGGTGTTGGAATCATATCCACTCTTGAGTTCTGCTCCGCCCGTGCATTCCAGCGACGTGTGGTGGCTGCTGACTTGATTGGCAGCCTGGCCAAACACCAAACGAGAAGGACATTCTGTCAGAGCCATAGGGCTCTAAGATGCTCTAAGGGTGTTTGAATATCTGACCGAACTACAGGGTGTCAAAGCCAAAGGGCTCTAAGGGTGGTACTAGTGCTCTATCGTTGGTGGATTTTCTTTCCAGCGGGTCTTGGGGTCCGAATTTGAAGCCAATACCCCATCCACCTGTCCAGTCGTGTATTCGCGCCAGAGATCCACATGTGGTGCTGGGAGGTTTGGTGTGAGCGGTTTGGATTGGATCGAGACAGGGATCCAGTTGGGAGGTGTTGGGAGGTTTGATGAATATGGTGAATTGTCATTAAAACACACACACACACATACACATTCGACTCGCCACAAAATGGTTTGAAGAACATGGTGAATGTTCATGAACATGAATCAACACACACCGTCACCCGCCTACTAAGTAAAATGGGAAGCGGAAGAGAATTTGTGGACATCTGTCTGTTTGTGGTTGAAATTGCGCCTTCCGCAAAGATGTGTCCGTCTCAACAATTTTCAATCGGTACACTGGCCTAAGAAGCAAGACAAACACATACTCAAAGGCGGGTCAGTGCACTCTGAGTAAACCTGAACAGAATGGTCCACTGAGACAATGGTCCACTGAACAGAATGGTTCATCTGCCGTATGCTGCATTGGTCATCTTGAACCAAACTCAAGTGAAGTGGGTGTAAGTAATGCAGGTCGCTGAGACATTGAATGTCCCTCTATGGCCAGCAATTTGATCAATCTTGGGGTCTGCTAAAAGCTGAACGCTCTGGGTCTTCTCGCACCCTGAATAATCTGAATATATGGATCCATCCACATCCTCAGAATGTTGATGGAACACCCTGGACTCTCCAAACTCACAAACAAATATCTCAAAACATGACCAGCTGCCTTCAACAAAAAAGCTTCTGAAGATCCCTACAAACACAATGAAAGCCAAGCCAATACAAAAGGCAGGTCTTCCGGTTGACCGACAGGCTCTGCAGGCTCTTACGATCGGCCCCACGGCTCTAAGGATCCTCACCAGTAAAAGTCCAGAGACGATTGGCCCCAGCGTGCAGCCCAGAAAGCCTCCCGTGCGCCCGTTTGCTGCGCTCGCTACCGCGGTAGCTGCAGCAAAGTAGCTAAGTAAAGGTGCGGCTAGTGCTCCTATATGCTCCTATATGCTTCTATGCTCTCCTAGATTTGAATGATCTTGAATGGATGAATATGGATGATTCGGTTTAAAAGGAGCAGCCCGGGGCCTCCCTTAAATTGGGAAAGCCTGGTTCGGTTCAAGCAATGGGTTGCTATGGATAGGTTGTCTATGGTTGTTTCCTTCTCCGGGTCTTTCCTGCCATGTTTAGTCCTTGTCTCGTCCCTTTTGATTCAGTGTGGGCCCAAATTCCAGGCATTTCTTGGACCATAGTTTTGACATGGATCGAAGTTCAGCCTTTGAGTGACCGGTCGATTGTCTGTTTCGTTCGAAGAGCCAATTTAGGAACGGCAGACCTGGTCCCCAAAGAGTTGTCCTAGCCAAATCAGGAGCCAATATCCATCAATATGCTGTCTATGAACAGGCACTTGCTGTCGAAGGGCTCGTGTCTGCGGGCACGTCCCGAGATCCTCTCGTGTCTGACTCGCAAGGACTTTGCTCAGCTGGACAGTTCCCCTCAAGAGGCTAGGAAAGAAGCCAGGAGTAATGTAGACTCTGAGACTCTCATAAATCCGCTCATTGTAAAAAACCAAGAGTCTAAAATGAGAAGGTTTATACTCACCTAAGAGTCTACATTCAATTCCTACAAGTCCAACACACCAGCAGTAGATGCGTAACCCTCGCACTCTCGACTCTCGTCCAGGGGGTTTCCCGTGCCGTCGGGTCCGGTGCCTGCAACGCCCCAGAGGCCGAAGGCCTCTGCAGTGGTCTTGCCCTGTGGCAAGCAATCCAAGGCCAAGGCCTCAAGAATTGAACATGGAACACATCAGTGAGAAACCAGCATTGCTGAGGGAAATATGATCAATTGATGGACTGCATTCTGCTTGGTTGTTACTTCACATTTCTTAACTGTGTCCTGTCCGAACTGTTCAAGTAGACTATGGTTGAACATGAGCAACAACGATAGAACAAATAAAATCAAATAAAGCATGTCATGTCAGGATGGGTAAAACACATCGGCTGCACCTTACAAGTGCACTCTACTTCTACCCAATAGCTTCTTCCCAACGGCTCATGGATCCTCAAACTGCTACACATCTTGCTTTCCCAAAATCTGATGAAGTGTTTCACACGGGTCTTGCCACCCGTTCAACCCGTTCCAAACCTCCGCTCCTGGGGGTGGACCCCCCAGTCTTCTGCTCCCCGTTCAAAACCTCGGAACCCGTCTCCCGCTCGACGCTCGGGTCCGACTCGTAGCTCCGTTCCGACTGAACGGAAGGCGGTTGAGCTTTTCGGTGGAGCACGACCCACACAGAGCGAGCGCTTCCTGAGCAGCCCTGCATAATCCACACTCACGTAGATGCCACTACCTCGAGCCAGGTCGGTCGAGTCGGTCGAGAAAACATCAAACACGAAAAACAAACGGCGGAAGGTGTCCAATACATCTCTGGATGCTGTGTTGCAGTCTCGAGGGCCTTCCAAGGTCTTGAATGATCATCAGTTCTTATTTGATGATGGTTATAGCAAAGGACTTTCTCTAAAATAGTGATTTGCTTGTTTACCGACTGTTGCAGGTTTACTGGAACACCCCGAACTGCGAAGGCGCC